ATGAAACAGACAGAAGCAACAGAACATAATCAAACCAACATGTTGGGCTTTAAAAGAGCTGATTTTAACAAACTCAGTGCTCATAACTATTCTTCATATGTTTTGATTATCTTATCACAAAATGCAAAATATTTCTAGTTTACAACTCTCTCTGTAGTCTTCATTCTGTCAAGAAACTGTTGAGCCCTTTCTTTAGTTCCTTGCTTTCTTGTTTTTCTTTTTTAGTGTTATTGAACTGAACTGGGCTTTTATAACTATACCATTCTGAGTTTTCCAGACTTTTTGATTTCTTCTTTAAGATGGTATCTTTCTTTAATGATCAAAACCTCCTTATTAAAAATATAATAGTTTTACTGATTTTGTAGCAGCCACCAAAAAGGAATATGTAGGACAGGAGGTTACCTGAAAACTATGGAAAGGGGTTGAAAAAACAAAGCACCTAAGGCAAAATAAGTTCCACAAAGGGATAGGTAGGATCAGGATGATGCAAGATGTGTTGAAAAATGAATGAGTCTCACTTAAATTTAAGTGAGATAAATCAGTGGCCCAAGCAATGTTGCCAAATTAGGAATCAACTTAAAAGAAAGATTGACATAGCCTAAGAAAAACCATTTATCTTTCAGAATGCTGTGAAGTACTCTCAAGGCAAAATGGACTGTACTTTAGTTGAATCCATCTGAATTTTTTCAGAAGATACTTGACCACCAAGTGCTCTAAACCAAATACACATTTCTCAACCTCAGGAACTTTAAGATGTGTGGATTTTAAGCCCCAGAATTCCCCAGATGGCATTGAAGAATTCCTCAAGTTTGACTTATATGAAAAACCAGTTCCTCAAAATTAATTGCTTTTAAATAATCAAGAACTACTGTACTCCAGAAATTATGAAAACTATAAATCATAAATATTTTAGATATAAATATTTTCCAAGCACAACAGTATTGCTCTGTGATGAAATTTCCTATGGCAAGAATCAGAAATAGTTAAATATAAATGCTCCTCTTTCAAGAGAATCAGATTGTAGGCCATTTCCCATTAGGAGTAGCTTGATAAAGACAGAACTCTTTAGCAATAATTCTCAGAATTCAGAAATGAGTAGAAAGGGAAGTGATTGTAAAAGCTATTTACTGTGGAAAGTGAGCATCATGGATTGTACTTTAGATAGGGAACTATTTTCTTTTGACAGAAATAAATTACTAGTGAATGAGGAGAAGGAACAGAATATGCTTCCGTAAGTTTTCATTCATACATTTAACATTGCATAATGACACTTCACAAGCATTGGAATTCAAATCATAAGACTGATCATGTAAGTGGAAGATTGTCAGGGAGCAGAATCTGTACTTCCCCTTTCCAAATTCATCTGTGTAATCTAAGGTGACCATGTCATCTACAACATAGATACAAGTAATACTCAACTTATAAACATTCATTTAGTGACTTTGAAGTTATAACAACACTGAAAAAAATGATTTACACTTACAACCGTTGCAGCATCCCATGTGATTAAAATTCTAACACTTGGCAACTGGCATGTATTTATGATGGTTGCACTGCCTGGGGTCATATGATCACCATTTTTAACCTTCCCAGCCAGCTTCTGATTAGCAAAGTCAATGAGGAAGTCAGATTTGCTTAATGGTCAAATTATTCACTTAACAATTACATGATACACTTAACTACTGTGAAAAGCAAGGTTATCAAATGGGGCAAAACTCATATAACAATTGTCTTGCTTAGCAAGTGTAATTTGCTAATAGCAATTCAATTGTGGTTGTAAATTGAGGACTACCTGTGTATCCTTCTGTGCAATAATGCAACTTTTATTGACCAGTCCAACTGCATAAGTTTAACTTCTAAATTCTCATATGTTCAGAGAGAAGAAGAGGAAGGAGGTTCAAAGCAAGTACTGGAGTCTTCCCTTCCCACTTATATTTTCCTGCAATACTTAGAATAACTCATTAATGCTCATATTTGGATTTGAGTGCCTTGATATATTAATTCATCTGGTATTTCTTCAAAAAGGCCATCTCTGAATGTTGAGTTAACCCTCTCTCATTCCAACCCACATCCTGAGCTAGTAGCTAAAATTATGTGAAACATTTCCACATCAAATGCTTAACCTGCAATATATGTCACAGTTGAGACTCGTTTGCAAATCCTCAAAATGGTGTGTCATAACATTCATGTAGACTGACTTCACAAAGAAGGTATGCCCACTACCTTCTTTCATTAGGCTATTCACTGATTCCTAATGGGAATGTTGTCTGGTCTCAAAGAGATGTAACATTGTAAAACAAAGACAATATATTTATTTGGTTTTTCATCATATTTCTCTGCCAAGACAATGAGAAAACTGTTCTGGATGACTCTGGCAACAGCTATAGGATCAATGTGAGCTATGTTTGGAGAGGAATGATGTTTGTTTCTCTGCCATTTGTTGTCTAGTCCTTTAATAATCAGTAAACGACATTTGATTCTAATTCTAGAGCAAACCACTGGTTCCTCAATTAATAGTTAGTAGAATCACTAGAGGGCCCATAGCCATCCTGCTCATTCTTAAATATCTGCAGAAGATGGGTGTCTTCTCATATGGCAGCAGGTAAGGGCAAACAAGCTGTCAGGCTACTCTGTATGAGACTTGATTGTAAATCACAGTATTTGCTTTTATATAGTTTAATGGGCAAATGACAAAGTCTTTCAGACATTCAATAATAAAAATCTTTACAGCAAATTAAAATGAAATATGAAACAGTTGATCGTCCTCTGTGTAAAAAAGCAATGTTCTCTTCATAGTTTTAAATGAGTCATTGTTCAATGCTTCATAGTTTTGAACAAGCAGTTGTTGGTTATTGACTTTCCTGACATCTCTGCCCAGAACACTGCTGGATCTTTGCTGAAGTCCTAGAGTGAACGTAATGCTGGTTCACAAATTCTACAAGTTTAAGTTCCCACATTCAGAGCATGTTGGAATATGCTGGAAAAGCTATGTTATATGAGCCTAAGCTTTAAGAGAATACTGGGAGCAACAGATTACATGAAAGGATGTCATGGAGAAGACTTGGGATGGTCAGAGAGAGGATACCAAAGACCTTAAATTATCTTTATATCTCTAACAACAAGTAAACTTCTTTCTAACTGCTTGGAGTAGGGCAATAATTTTCAGCTAGTTTTCTTTTTCTTATTACAGTCAATTTTCTTATTTCTTAGATCTGCATATGTATTCCGTATTTCCCCTTTCTCTGGTTTCACTCTTGAGACTTTGATAATAAAGCACTGATTCAGCACAAGAAAAAGCTAGAACACATTGTTCTACTGTTTGTTCTACTGTTGGATGTCTATGAAGCAAGACCTTTCATGTTATTATAATATATTTCTATTAGTTTGAAATCTAATGTATGGAATATAACACTTATTTATAAGAGACTAGAACACCAAACCTGGAAAAACCGTATAGTTGCTATGGTCTATAAAAAGCAGATTCACTCAAGATTAGCTTTATTCCCAGTGATAGCAGGAACACTTTCATTAAAGTCTCCTTGTCAACAATACTGTATAGCAGTGATTTGCCATTATCATTTTTCAGATTGCTTTTTTCAATTATCAGACCAACTTGCAACCAGGGGTCTCCTGGTCATCTCTTATCCAGGCATTAATTAGGTGTAATTACTTAGCATTTTCCAAGAACAGCCAAGATGAATTGGGTGACCTGTTGCAACTTTGAAGGAATTGCAAAACAGAAACAAAGAATGATTTTGCACTTTTACTGTATTTTCATGTTTTGATGGATTGTATTTTGGTTTTCTATGTGTACCACTAGAAAATAGGTTTAGATTGAGTTTGACTGCATATTATATGTATGAAATGTAACATGAATATAGTATGAATTAGAATGCCAATCTATTATTGTGTTTAAAAAATTATGAAGAATTCCATTGGATCAGAGCTATCTAGTACAACTTTCTGTTTCCACAATGTACTTGGGAAGACCATAAATTTGACACAGGAGAAATAATGCCACTTCCTGCATGTCTGCTAGGGCTGTATAAGTTCTGATTCTGCATGGTTAGGTTCTTCTTTCCAGTAGCCTTACACCGTTTTATTCTGCATAAATTTATCTAATCAATGGTACTGAATCATGCCATACGTATTCTTTAATTTGTCCTGTGACTCCCTCATTCAGTATCATTCAGATACCTTTATCCTAGTTACATGAAGAAGAGGTGAAAACCTTATCCTTACTTATTTTCATATAAAATTTCTTATATTTTTATCAATTGTCTCTTACTTGAACCTTCCCCTCCAATATTGTAACAATTTTTAATTTTCTGTCATGGCTTCCATTGCATCTGAGATAGCATGCTTGTTCATTCAATAAGTTTTCCAGAACCACCTTTTTCCAATCACCTGATTATTTATTAAAAGCTCACAATTCAGAATATGTTTTTGAAGAATCCTATTTCAAATGCACAATATGAAGCCCTATCCATCATTTCTCCATCATCTACAGTTGGCTAGAGAAACTGAGGAACAAATTGCATCTTAGAACATCACTTCTATTGCTTTTGTTAAGCACCAGCTCAACCATTGGCCAGATCTTTTACACATAAATAATTTCGTGCCTCTATCAATTTGTTGCTATTTCAGGGAATCTATGGCTGATCTTCCCAGGTTTTACTGGATACAGAAATGTCCTGATTCATCCAGAACCTTCAGGCAGGATCAAGTACATCACTCCACATCAAGTCCTCATGCAAGCATTCTGCTAACCATCATCACTAGAAAGCCTCCCCTGTACCTTAGAATCATGGTTGAAACTCACTTTTGACTATCTATCCCATTTTACCTCCTCAGGGCTAGGTTTGCTCTTTGTACATATGCTTAAAATAAATGCTCATTCTATTCTTGTTTCCAGGTCAAATTTTGGGTGGTAAGCAGCTCCTTGAAAAGTGTAAATGCATAATGAAACTATAGTAAAAATGACCAATTGAAATATTAAATACATACCAGGTTTGGTTTATTATAGCAACGCAAAAGAATATTGCTCACAAAATTACTCCTTGTCAGGTTCCCTAGCATATTTCCCATTATTAATCTCTTTATTGTTCTTTTGACAGAAATTGAGAATATTAGCTTGCAGTCATATTTATTTTCTCAGAATGCTGATATAAGCCCAGAGACAGCTTTGTAAAGATAATGATACTCTAGGCTAATGCTTTGAAAATGTCCTGTGTTCCATTTTTTTAAAAAAATACAACTTAATATGGTAAGATAATGCATTAATTTTGGATGGGACAGAAAGATTGAGAATAGAATAGAATAGAATAGAATAGAATAGAATAGAATAGAATAGAATAGAATAGAATAGAATAGAATAGAATAGAATAGTTGGAAGGGATCTTGTGGGTCATCTAGTCCAACTCCCATCCAGAAGATCCTACACCATTTTTGACAGACAGCACTCCAGTCTCTTCTTGAAAGTTTCCAGTGATGAAACTCCCACAACTTGTGAAGACAATCTGCTCCGTTGGTTGATTGTTCTCACTCTCAGAAAATTTCTTCTTATTTCTAGGTTGAATCTCTCCTTAATAAGTTTCCATCTGCTATTCCTTGTCTGGCCTTCAGATCTTTGGAAAATAGGTTGGCCCCCTCATCTCTGTGAGACTCCCCTCAAATATTGGAACACTGTTATCATGTCCTTCTCTTCACTAGACTAGCTATGCCCAATTCCTGTAATTGTTCTTCATATGTTTTAGTTTCCAGTCCCCTAATCATCTTTGTTGCCCTTCTCTGCACTTTTTCTAAAGTCTCAACATCTTTTTTAATCATCCCATGGATTCCTTGCATCAAACGATTCTTCAGATAAATGGAAGTTTGGAAATAGATTATTAAAAAAGTAAAATAGGTCATATTTAGTAACAACAATCACATCATAATATGCATGCTGAGATTGAGAATTGTTTGGATGTTTTTAATTTTGGAGATGAATTTTATAATAAAGTATTTTTCAATTCACAAAATCAGCATTCAACTTGGAGTATACATATCTGTTGCTGTTTATTGTAAGGAAATGCAGAGATGATCTAAGGCAGGGGTAGGCAACCTTGGCTCTTTTATGACTCGTGGACTTCAACTCCCAGAATTCCTGAGCCATGCTGGCTCAGGAATTCTGGGAGCTGAAGTCCACGAGTCATAAAAGAGCCAATGTTGCCTATCCCTGATCTAAGGAAACCCATGCATATTTTTGTTCATTTATATTTGAGAAGATGAATCCATTAAACTCTGCTATATTTTACATTAAACATCATTTACAGTTTGAAAACAATGCAATTTCATATGGTCCCTCATTAAACATACAGCTCTAAAAATATTTTCTGAGTTATTCTAAGCATCAATGAATAGTTTCAAATACACTTTTGATCCAAATGGGGAAGGAGAACTTCAGAATTATTTGAAATAGTCAGTTATTTCATCATATGAATTTTAAAATTATATAAAATTATATAAAGTGGATGTATAATTCATGGTAATAATTACAGGAATTAAAACAAAATGTCCATAATGAGGGGTAAGAGAAGTTCAGTTCTCCTTCCCTTTTCTTTTTCATATTTTCTCTTTCTCCCCATAATCCTCATGTAGCAGATATCGGAAGCAGCAGACCATGTTTGACAGAGTTCTGAACAAAGGATTGGAAAATAGGATGAGAGCTTAATGCATAACATTAACATAAATGCTATGGACATTTGTTGGTTATCTGTCTACTGGCCTTGTTTCCAAAATTTTGTTTAAGCCGAGGGACATATCTTAACTTGTATGTTTCCCCATTTTTCCTCTGGCAATGTTTAGGTGGAAATATCATGGACTAAATCTAAAGAAAAAGCAGCAACACAACATATCTGAGATGGCATCTGCATAAACCCCCAAATGAAAAGCACTTTCTAATGACCTAAATCACTCAGCTTTTTGGCACAAGGATATTTGAAATATTTGAGGCCATTTTAAAATTACAATACATGAAATATGCCAAGTGAAGTAGTGACACCTAAAATGATTGCTTCCCCAAAGTATCACCTATATTCACAGGCTCAAACAAGGGAGATTAGTGATACAAAGATAGGTGGAAGAATTGAAATATCTGGTCTGCAAAAAAGAAGGTGCAAGGAAAACAGTGTTCAAATACTGTACATGAAAGCATATCAAAGAGAAAATGTTACATATTGCAGTCATTGACCAACATACAGAGAAAATAGTCACTAACTATTTTGTACTGTTCCAAAACTAGAACCAGAAATAATGTGTATTGGAAATAAAAACTTTGTAATGGTAAGATGGAAAGTTAAGCATTCCACTTACCAAGGTTGTGGGTTCTCCATCTCTGAAGGTTTTTAAGAAGATATTTTAACCTCTTCAGAGTGGTTTAATTGGTTTTCCTGCACAAGGCAAAGGGTTAGATTAGATGATCCTTGGGAACCTTTCTAGATGATCCTTGGGATCCTTTCCAACTCTACCATTTGACTATATGAATCTGATCTGAAATTCTTCCTGTAATACTAATATAATGGCAATAGTTTGGTATGCAATTTGCAGGCTTCTTTTTGATGAACAATTTGAGCATATGATGATATAACAGAAAAATATGTTAGATACATTTGCATTTGCAAATTTGCTACTGATTTAAAAAGTACAGCACATTCAATAAAGCAATTAAATATTTCAGTAGATTGTTAGATCTGCCCTTCCAATGGGAATATATCAAAATTTATTGTTTATTTGTTTATTAAATTTATATCCTGCCCATCTTGCTGTCCAAATATTAAATGATGTTATCCTGTGAATAATTTACACAGGGGCAAATTTAGTGATGCAAATAAAGGGAAGCAATGACAATACTTCTCCAGACAGAACACTTTTTCATATCTCTTATTTATTATGCCCTTCAAGTTAATGTAAATTATTCCATTATTTTTGTTTCAGGAATTCAGCATTAGAATACAGATTACTAATGTAGTTCTCTAGTTCTTTCCTCTCCTTTCTACTTTTTTTTTAGTGCAGAAATACCACCAAATTTAGCAGTTGCCATTTCCCTCGGACTGCTGTATGAATTTGAGAATGGATCTTCATTTAAATGTTATAAGCTGCCTCTTGTTATACAACAATTTAGCTATTGGTAGTATTGTTTACTTTGCATTATTTAGTGTCTGCAATGAAATGATTGTTGCTTTTGATATGTAGTAAGGATGCTGAAACAGATAGACTCATTATAATTATTTTGTTAAGTTGACATTAGAATGTGCTTTCAGAAGTCAGTGTTGATTTAACAAGAGACAGTTTAGATTGTTGTCAAATTAATTGGTTGCCTGTTCATTCTGCTCCATGTTCATGACCAGATCAATTCCATCGCTAGTTCTTGGAGCAGCTCCACCAGTAAAATAAAAAGAATTTTCAAAATTCTCATTTGTCAAGCCATGTTGATTCCTTTTCTTGTAGAAATAGAAACCTGTGAGAGCAGCTCCAGAAAGGATGAGGATCACCAGCACCACCACAATGATGGCTTTGTTATGGGTTTGTGAAGGAATGACATCTGTCTTTCTTGATTCTGTAAATTAATGCAGGGTAATCACAGCACAACATTCAGGAAAATTTTCTTAGTATAATTGGACCTTGTCCTTCAAAGAGCACTGGTACCGTTCCTCTCCATTTAATTTTTCAATAACATTGTGAGATTGTTAAATGATGATCCAGTGATCTTTGTGGTCATGTGGCATTGGAATCCATTTCTTTGTTTGTTTGTCTAATACTGTAACAACACTAAAACATCACCATAAAGCAGGGGTGTCAAACTGTCGGCCTGCGGGACAGATGCATTATGCCCAAACCACTCCCACCCCATTGCCAGCAATGGAAAAAAAGTCACGATACGTCACGACACGTCACGTGATGTTGTGAGTTTGACACCCATGCCATAAAGCATCACAATAAATAGTAGTATGAATAGTATTCTAACTGGTGCATTCCAGTTATATTAGATCAAAACTCATGTGAATTAGGAATGCTACATATTTTATTTTAATACTTCTAAATACATCAGGTTAAAGGAAACTGAAAGATTAATTTCTTTGGCGCTGCAGTCTTGGAAAAGCAACAAAAACAATCCCACATCTTAATATTTAAATTTTATCAGCTAGTTGAGAAACTGATTTGAAAATATAATAATGTACAATTAATTATTTTAAAAGATATGAGACAGAGAGAGAAGAGAGAGAGAGACAGAGACAGAGAGACAGAGAGACAGAGAGAGATAGAGAGAGACAGAGAGAGAGAGATATTGGTAGGTAGGTAGGTAGATAGCTAGGTAGATGACAGAAAGATATCTTTCTCATCTGAGTTTTAAATTTTATTTACTGTGCATAAATTCTTACCTTTGTTTTCTTTCATCTTCTCAGTAGGTACTGTTTCAACAACTTTAAAAGAGAAATATTATGAATTGTGTTATGCTCAGAGTTCATTACATTTCAGTGCGATAGGCAGAACAAATTCAATTCCTTCATAAAGAGACTTTGGAATTATCATTGATCATAAAATGAGTATTGTATAAATAGCAAGGTAATATAATAGCCAAAAAGATAAATGCAGCTTCAGGTTGTACCAATAGAAATATAGTTCATAGGAAGTAAAAACCCTACTACTGCACTGGTCAGGCTTTTCTTTCAATACTGGGAGATACTGCTAATGCTCAGCTTTGAGAAAAAGAAATAAGAGCTGAGGAGAGATAGGAAAAGAGTTTTCAAGTATCTGAAACAGTTTTACAAAAAAGTCCAAGATCTGACCTTAATCACACCCAGGTGCTAGGCAAAAAACAGTGGCATTAAATTACAGGAAAATAGATTCTGCTTGAATATTAGAAAAAACAATCTATTAGCAAGATGGTTCAGTATATGATCCAATTACCAAGGGAGTTCCCCTTCATTTATTATACCCAAGCAAACTATAATTTGGATTCCTACAGCAATCAAAATATTGTGTAGGAATGGAAAGAATGTGCCTTTTTTCCTCTAAGGTGAAAAATCATGGACTCCCCATAAATCTCTTTGCTTGAATCCTCTTCATCCCTTTATGAAATTTCAGAAGTGTTGATTTTTCTTTCTCTCTTCCTCTTCCTATGGGTATCTATTATTGCCAGTGCAGGTCAGATTAAATGCAGAAAGACAATTTTGTGGTCAGGCTAGAATCAGGGGTAGGCAACCTTGGCTCTTTTATGACTTGTGGACTTCTTCTAGAATTCCTGAGCCAGCCATGCTGGGAGTTGAAGTCCACGAGTCATAAAAAAGCCAAGGTTGCCTACCCCTGGGCTAGGTGAATTAACTGGAAATTCTTTTCTAGACTGATTTCATTCATGTTCAAGATAAACATGAAGATCATCTTAAAGTTGCTGATGCATACTTATATCCCATTTGCTCTCTTTCTCCCTCTCATTTTCAGCTATGTTGTGACGAAAAGGCCAAACTGAAGAAAACTAGAAAAATAAAATCATAAAAAATAAAATAATAAAAATATAAAATGTATTACTTACTTTTGGGTTTTTTGCAAATATATCCCAGATATGAATTACAATAAATATTATTCCAAATCCCATTTGAAGCAAACATTTCTACACAATGTTCATCATACTGACTTGAAGGTTCTCCAGTGTTCCAGTTGACAAAGGTCACAACAGAATTGTCAATCCATAACCAATCACCTAATGGTAAGTTAGAAAATACATCAAGATAATCAGCTCAAGCAATGTCTTACTTACTTACTTACCTACTTACTTACTTACTTACTTACTTAGCCTATTTTATGATTAAATGCATGGTTCCATTTAAAGACCTCTAGATTTAAACAAAAATAAAGAACTTTAGTCATGTATGTTATCTGCAGTTATTAGAAATTTAAATTTGTTTTAATTTAAAACAAATATGGTTTTAAGTATAAAGCAGGAAAATTCTTTACTGACCAGATATACACATATAGCAGTAGAATTTGGAAATATCTTTTTCCTTTACCAATTTAATAAAATGAGAATGGTATGATTTTTTTGTTCATTCAGTTTTAGATAATTAGATAGAACAAAATCATGTGCCAATTTTTAACCATATGATTTAAATTTGTCGTGTTGTTGAATTCATAAATGTACAAAGCCATAAATCACAAAGTTGGATTTATACATTAAGCCAAAAATAAACATTTTTAATCAAAGTCCTCATTTTATATATTGTATAACATGCCAAAGGTACATGCAAAAACATTAGTAGGCCAGAACCAAAAAAACCCAGGATGAACTATGGGTGTCCACAGGGGCATCAACCGGCAGCAGATAATGAAATATCCATGGCAACATTACTATGCAAACTGCCTCTTTCATACTTGTGGTGGACCTTCAGTTATGATGATATAATATGTGTTTTCTCATTTGTATGAAATTTCAGCTCATTATAAAACAAATGGCTATAAATCTGATGTGATGTCATGTTTTATTTTTTTTTATTTAGAAAGTTTATATGGGCAGCTGACTCTGGGCAGCTTAAAAAAAATTAAAACCCAATATACAAACAATAAAAATAATAACCCCCTACCATCACCCCTCTATAAATGTTGATTTATATAGGATTAAAGTTATGTTAATTACTTTGGGGAAAAACTCTCGTGGTACTTTAAAAGCTTTCAGGGAGCAGATAGAATTTGTTCCTCCAAGCCAAAACTAAATGTCCTTATATTTTAACATAATGGGTAAATCTATTCATTTTGCATTTAGTAATTGATGCATTTTTTCCAGTGCAGGGCATGTAACAAAATGCCCTGTGATGTATTGAAACTGAGCTATAGTCTCAGATTCCCAACATAATCAATGAAACACTTAACCATACATGCATGCACGCACGCACACATACACACAGACATATCTCTATTGATTAATGCTTTTTAAAAAATTCAGGATTGAATAATCTAGCACTGATTCATCTGCCAGTTAGCTAAATAAATCAATAATATATTTTACCTTGAGAAGCATTAGAATATGACTCTGAAATATCTCAAATGTGCTTTTTATTTTTTCCTAAATTTAAAGTTTGAGTTATAATTAAAAATCATGACAATGTCTACATTTTTCTCTGTTTTTTCCTTTTTTATATACAAGAAAAATTGTAAGGAGCAATCAAACCTTTTTTGGTACTTCCAGAAGATTCAATTGTGATTATAATAAAATATTCACAATACAAACAACACTGAGCTTAGAACTTAAATTAAAATATACCATTTAGATTTTTGAACATTCCTATCCAAAATGCTTGGGATTTGCTTTCAAGATTTTCTGTAAATTCTATTAGAAAGTTTGCTTCAACTGTATCCATTACTGAAACCAGAGAGGCATCTGTAAAAAAAAAAAAAAAAAAAATCAGCAAACACCCTCAGAGAAAATATTATTTGGGTAATTTTTTGATCCATAGCAAGTTGAGTAGCTAATTAAAAGAAAGGTTTTGATTAACATCAAAACATGGTTTTTCTTTGATTCCCCCCTTTTTATATATGGATACCCGGATCAAACTAATCACTTAAATTTTCAAATAAAGAACACACATCTATACCCAACATATTATTCCCTTTCAGACATTGTGTAAAATGCAGAAAAAGAGTAAGCAGTGGTAAACAAAAGAAATTAAAGCAGGAAATAAAGGGAAAAATAAAGTCTATTTTATAGCAACACTTACTGCTATACTATATATCCTCATATCTTTCTAATCTACAAACTATCCCTGCTTCCTCTGGTTCTGGACACCAATTTATAAATTTCCTCTTCTTTAAAATTCTTGACTTTCTAAGGAAGTCATCAACTTTATCCACTGACAAATTTCTTGGGTTTCCCCTTCGTCTTCACTCATTTATTTTTACCTCATGTAAAAAATATTAGTTTTGTGATTGGAACCTTACTCATTCTCTGTCAACCCTGCTTAGTGTTCTTCTTTCATATTTCTATTGTATTGGTCATTTACTTTTGTATTCAACCCCCATTCCTTCAGTACCCCATTCCAACTCCATGCAATTTACTCTTATGTTTCTCCTCACATACCCAAATCTCACTTCCATATAACAAACTGGTCAAAGGCATATGCTTAGAGAAAGCTATTTCACTTCTTTTGACAAACCTCCATTTCTTTAATTTCAATTATTTGTTCCACATTATTCATGTATGAATGAATAATATGACAAAGATCTTGAAAATAATATCAAGAGACTATCAGCAGCTTGGCATGAAAACCAAAGAGTTAGGAGCAGAGGTGGTATTTTCATCTGTAGTTGCAATGGAAAGTCAACATCCAATGAGGGAATAGAGGATCCTAGAAGTAAACCACTGGCTTAAAGGATGATGCTATTGAGAGACCTTTGGATTCCTAGACTAGGATAAACATTACATACATGAGAGCTTCTGGCAGAGGACAGGTTGCATGTCACAAGAACTGGGAAGAATGGGTGTGGAAAATAATCAACTCAAATCTGAAGGGCTTTAAACTGAAACTGGAAGGGCGGGAGATCCAATCTTTAGGACCTAATCACAAGCATAAATCCCAAGACAACTAATCAAACAGTGAACTAGGGTATGGTGCAAAGAAAGGGGAACTCAGAAACAAAATAGAAGAACTAGGAAATGAATGCAGGGTTGGTCAGAAAGGACCCAGATAACTATACACAAATTCTCAAAATATGGGGAACAAATAGATCATACTTGAAATCCTAGTATATGAGGATTTGGTGGGATTAGTGGGATGAAACTCATGACTGGAATGTACTGCTGGAAGGATATAACTTGTTCAAAAGAAACAAATCTAACATAAGAGAAGATGAAGTTGTGTTATAAGCAAGAAATCACTACACCACTATAGAAATGCATAAAACCAAGGGTGAAAGCCTTCTTGAATACATATGGGTTAGTACAAAATGAAAAGGGAATGATATTGCATAGGTGTATATCACAGATCATACAAACAAGTAGAAAAAATATAGGAATTCTTTGCTAGTCACTTAGCTAAGGTATGCAGGAAACACACCATAGTAGTAATCAGGGACCTTAACTAAACTGATATCAGTTGAGAAACTCTGCAGAAATGGGGAATCAAACAAGTTTCTAATAAGATTAGCTGACAACTTTGATATTCAAAAGATAGAGAACAGAAGTAGAGGGTCAATTGTATTGGACTTGATTCTTATTAATAGAGATTAAATGATAGAGGGGGTGAAGTTGCAGGAACTTTGGATGAGACTGACCATGTCATACTGCAATTCAAAATAATGAACGCACAAGTAATAGAAGTCAAATCAGGGTCTTAAACTTTAAGAGAGCTTACTTCAATAAACTAAGAGAGAATTTAGGAAGTATTCCATGGATGGAAACCCTAAAGGAGAAAACAAGGAAAATTCTAAAAAAAAATGAGATGATAAAAGCTCAGTATAAAACAATATCACAAAGAAAGAAAAACAAGAGACCCAGGATGAAACCAGCATAGTTGCACAAATAACTCTCTGACAAACTGAGAAAAAAAGGACAAGTATAAAAAATGGAAAGAGAAACATATAACTAAAACAGTATACCAAGCAAATAGGTCAAATCTGCAAAGATGAGGTCAGGAAAGCTAAGGTTAAGATTTACAACAAATGTCAAGAATAATTATTTTAAAAATTCAAATGTAAGAAACAAGGGAAAAGTCAAGGAAATGATCAGTCCACTAATGGGAAAAGATGATAAGTTGGTCATGGTTAGCAGGAAGAAAGCAGAACTGTTTCATTTATTCTTTGTATTTGTCTTCATGCAGAAAGAAAAAAATAATCCAACCTATCAAAAGGGGTACCGTAAAAGATAGATTAGGAATACAAATTGAAATGGGCAAGAAAATGATAAGACAACACATATCCATTCTAGACAAATTCAAATCACCAGGATCAGATAGAATACATCTCAGAGTTCTGGAGCAGCTGTTAGATATGATCTCAGAACCATCAAACTTTTTTTAAAAAAGCTCTTTGAGTATGGGAGAACTACCAGAGGATTAGAAAAGAACTGATGTGGTTTCAGCATACAAAAAGGGGCAGGAGTAGATGTAGGAAACTACAGACCAATCAGCCTGATATCAATACCTGGGGAAATCCTTGAAAAGTTAATCAAGCAGTACATTTGTAAGTACCTAAAAATAATAACAGACTTGAACACTGGGCTCTATCCAACAAAATGCAATTCAGTGAGAAAAGGTCCTACACATAGGCAAGAAAAACCAAATGCACGTGGTTCAACTGTAGTAACTGTGAAAGGAATCTTGTGTCTTTGTAGACTACCACTTAGGTATGAGCCAGCAGTGTGCTGCAGTTAACAAAGAAGCCAAAGTAGTCCTAGCTGCATCAATAGAGGGGCAGTTTCAAGATCACATGAAAAGATAGTACTATTTTATACTGATCCAATTCTGCTCACCACAATACAAAAAAAAATGTTGAGGACTCCAGTTTGATGTCGTGGTGTGATGAATGCAGGAAGATGGTGCTCTGTCTTCCGCATTCAATTTTGCCCCGCTGGGGACCCTAAAAAGGGTCAAAAGTTGCCCCAAAGAGGCGACGGAGAAGGAAGGGACCTTCATTGATCGTGGGAGAGCAGCAGCCTTTCCATTTGATCTGAGGAAGCCCTCCAAACCAGTGAGGGACAAATTGGCTACATTCATGTGGCCAATCAAAAGCTGCTGACAACTGAAGAAAATAAACATTAACCAGCAACTTTTGAGCAACATGGATGGAACTGAGTGAGACCCTATCCTCTCTTTATGATTTTAAAACTTTTTCCTGGGAAAAAACACCCAAAGCAAAGAATCTTCCCCAATGAGAGAGGGAAGGGGAATTTCCACCCCATTTCCTCAGGAAAAGAAAGTGGTGAATTAATTGCTTGGGGGAAAATAGAGAAAATTACAAGATTAATTTGGAAGCAACACACATATATAACTTTCAAATTTGGGGACTAAAAGTGCTTTTGAGATTTTTTTTTAAAGAGACTTAAAAAGCTTGTAATATAAGTTTGGATGTAAAAAGCTGGAAGGTGGCATCAATGACATCTAGTGGTGAACTACAGCACTACAATTTATTATGCCAAAGAAAATGTGGCTGGAAGCCAAACTCAGGTAAGACTCTTGTTGCTTTCAGAAACTTTCATTTGTGAAGACTGCAGCTGGGAAAAGGGGGGGAAACCCCCTCTTGGGCTGCTTATCTGTGTGACAAAGAAAATAAACTATTTTGAAACTGGCCTGCCTGGATTATGAATATAAATAATAACTGATTTTTAGAGCTGTGTCATGGAGCTATTTCCCTATAGAAGAAACATACATTATTGATTGAGATGATAGAATACTTTGGACTATAAACCTTTGATTGATGAACAATTTTTAGTTGCTCTTCTTTCTCTCTGGACAAAAACGATATGTTTTTCATTGGACAGAAAAATTTGAAAAATTCGAACTTTACTTATATTTCCTGAGGGAAGACTTAAAGACAGACTGATAGGCTGGCTGGATAATTAGGACTTCAAATGACAATTGACTAAAACTCTTAAAATTCCTAAATAGATTGGACTATAAAGACCACATACAAAAACAAAATGGATGTTCAATGCTTAGCTTCAAATGGTAAAAAACTATCCCTAACACCTGTCCCCAAAGTCCCCAGCTTGACATACCAACAAGAAAATGTTGATGAATTTCAGAAAAAAACTCTTTCTATGTTAAAATCAATACAAGAGACAATTGCCTTAGCTCATGATGAGACTAAAAATAACACAAAGGAGGTAAAAGAGCAATTCTTTAAATCTACAAACTCAGAAAATGACTACAAAGAAGGAACTGTAACCCAAAAAATAGAAGGAAAATCAGAGGAAGCAGATCAAAAGATGGAGCACCTAAAGAAGGGAATTAACAGACAGACTCAGACAAACAAAGAATTAGAAGATGTAACAATAATATCGGAAATGGAAAAGATATCTTTTGTCAAGATCTCAGAACACACTTGAGGATAAGAAAGAAGAGCTGATTGAATGGAAGATAGAGCTGTTAGGAGAATTGTGGGAAATTGGAGAAGGAGGGAGGCTGTTTAATGAATATCAATGGGCTGAGTATCCTTCCAAAAATACTTTAATCAAATTGCCTTTCTTATTTCAAACAATATACACAAATATAGAGCAAGAATTACTTGATGATTCAAATGCATTGACTTGGAAAGTTAGATGGCAAAGCAAAAAAGCTAGAGTAAGACTGAAGAAAATAGAGGTTTTGACCCATTAGATGGGATATTATACTATTAATCAGATGTTTGAACTTGGCTGAGAATAGATAATTATTAGAAATTGAAGTATTATTATAACTAGAAAGATAGGATTTATAACTAGAATATTATATTTTAGTATGCGAAGGGAAATATGAAAATGCTAAGAGGGTTTAAATAAGGGAAACTTTTGGTTACCAAAATGTAACTTATTATGAGAAATTATAAGCAATAGAGACATTTTGAACATTAATGGAAAATTAAAAATTTTTAAAAAGCGGGAAAAACAGGATATTAATTGAACAAAAGGATATTAAGTGCAAATGCAATTAAGATATATTTTGGTTAGAAAAGATATTTTAAACCAACATTATTGATATTATTAGGAAAATGTAACAAAGATATTGATATTCAATTGTATATGTATTAACAGCAATAAGAATTGTATTTGCCTAATGTGGGAAATGTGTACTACTGGAAGAAGAAAGGAAGCATTGGATGGTGTAATACTTGGCCTAGATTGAAGAAGTTAATATGTACCACTGAATTACTAATGGACCCAGGACAACACATTGTTTATTTAGTACTTATGATTGTAAAACTAGAAAATATATAAAATATTTATATATAAAAAAGTTGAGACCCTAGAAAGAATATAGAAAAAAACAACAAAGATGATAAGGGGTCTGGAGGCTAAACCATACAATGAACAATTCAAGGAACTAGGTACCATGTTTCCCCGAAAGTAAACCCACCCCAGAAAATAAATCCCAGATGATTTGGGGGGGGTAGGCCTAATATAAGCCCTCTCCCCGAAAGTAAGTCCTACTTTTTATATATAAATATTTTATTAATTTTCTATTTTTACAATCAAGTGATTAATTAAACAACAAGATGACTGAGTCTATTAGTAATTCCATGGTACATGTAAGCTTCTTCAAACTTAATCCAACATTACACCCTCCAATACATCCTCTTTTCTTCTGGTAATAGACATTTTTCCACACTAAGCAAATACAATTCTTATTGTTGTAAATAAATGTACATTTACCTATCAACATTTGTTATATTTTTCTAAAGGTGTCAATAATATCAATTTACAATATCTTTTATCCAAAGCGTATCTCAATTGTGTTTGCATTCAATATCCATTTATTTAGTCTATATCCTATTTTCGCTTTTTTCAGTTCTAATTCCCTTCTAGTAATAGACACTTTTCCACACTAAGCAAATACAGTTCTTATTATTGTAAGTAAATATATAATTGCCTGTCAACATTTATTATATTTTTCTAAAAGTATCAATAATATCAGTTTAAAATATTTTTTTCTAATCAAAACATATCTTAATTGCATTTGCATTCAATATCCATTTATTCAGCCTATATCCTATTTTTGCTTTTTACCATTTTAATTCCCCATCCATGTTCAAAATATTCCAATCATTTATAATTTCAAAACCAGTTATATTTGGATAACCAAAAGTTTCCCCTATTCAAAATTCTTAACATATTCTTATTTCCTTTTTCATACCAAGATATAATATTCTGATTACAAATCCTATCTATCTAATTATAATAATATTTCTATTTCTAGCAATCTATTCTTAACAATATTTAAACATCTAATTGATAATGTAACATCCATTTAACAAATGAAAGCTTCTGTTTCTTTCAGTCTTACTCTAGCTTTCTTCCTTTGCCAGCTAACTTTCCAAGTCAGTACATTTGGATCATCAAATAATTTTTTCTCTATTTTTGTATATATTATCTGATTCAAGAAAAGTAATTTAGTTAAAGTGTTTTTGGAAGAACTGGCCCATTGATATTCATTATACAGCCTCCCTCCTTCTCCAATTCCCCACAGTTCTATTGACAGTTTTCTGTTCCATTCCATTAGCTCTCCTTCCTTATTCTCCAGTATCTTCTGAAACCTTGGTTTGTACAATGTCTTTTCCATTTCCAATGTTATCATTGTGTCTTCTAAGTCTTCATTTATCTGAGTCTGGTCACAATTTTCTTCCTTCAGATCCTCAATACTTGTGTCAGCATTTTCTATTTTTCTTTCTGTTTTCTGAGTTGCTGGTTCCTTCTCTGTATTTATTTTCTGGGTTTGTAGATTTAAATTAGAAAATTGTTCTTTTATCTCCTTTGTGCTTCTTTTAACCTCATCACGAGTTAAAGCAATTGTTTCTTGTATTAATTTCAGCATACAGATAATTTCTTTCTGTGATTCATCAATATTTTCTTGGTAATTTGGCAAACTGAAGCTTCTGGAGACAGATGTTAAAGATGGTTTTTCACCATTTAGAGTTAAGCAGAAAACATCCATTTTATTTTTTGTAAGTAAAAAACATGGTATATTTATCTAACAAAAAGAAGGATTAGGGATGGTATGATAGCAGTACTTTAGTCTGCCCTTTAAGTAAACTTAACAGGATCGACCTATTCTTCAAAGCACCTGAGGGCAGGACAAGAAGTAATTGGTGGAAGAGCATTAAATAGAGATCCAATCTAGAACTAAGGAGAAATTTTCTGACAGTGAAAACAATTAATCAGTTACTCCAGGACGTTGTGGATGCTCCAACACTGGAGGGTTTCAAGTAGAGAGTGGACAGCACTTTGTTCAGAATTCTATAAAGTCTCCTTCTCAAGTAGAGGGTTGGACTAGAAGGCTTCTAAGGTCCCTTCCAATCCTATTCTATGTTCTAAGGAATCCACATCCTTTCTATTAAAATATTTGCAAATCTTAGTATTTCTTCAATAATTGTTTCTTCTACTTGTTTTAAAATAAAATCAGATATTATAATTAGTGAATGGAAACACTTACCTAGTTGCAAACAAGCTAGTGATGCCTTTGGCCAACTCATCTTTGATGAGGCTTCAAAGTGATAGCAATGACCGCGGAATGGAATCCAAGATTTTTCCACTGTAAGTGGGCAGTTTCCTGGTTCTTGGGGTGGAACAGTAGGTGGAAACACTGTTTTTAAAAAACAATATAATTTTTAATTCTAATTAATTTGTTTTACTTAAAAGATTATTATGAGGAACCTTATCAAAACTACAGTGTTTTCTAGTAAGCATCCTTGTCCTAGATAGATAGATAGATAGATAGATAGATAGATAGATAGATAGATAGATAGATAGATAGATAGATAGATAGATAGAGCTTTAATTAGGTGGTTGTGGTCACTACCTTCACACTTCTATAAATATACACTCCCTGATATATGCACTGGTAGGTGTACAGCAGACACAAGACCCATGGGTTGGATGCGGCCCGAGAAGAGGTTTCATGTGGCCTGCGAAGCCATCCTGGAAACAGTGAGGGAATGGCCCCCACTGCCTTGGCCCTGGCCCAGGCCAGTTGGGAGCCAATGTACAATTTTGTGCTGGCCATGTATAGTGAAATATATTCAGTCTTACTCCACAAGGCCATCTGGAACAGCAAGGAACCAACCCCTGTCGTGTCAGCTCCCCACCTGGGTGCATGCTGGGGAGATGTCACCCTTTGTGAGGAATGAAGAAATGAACTCTCTCTTGGAAGTAGCCAGCAAATGGCCCTCACCTATTTCACATATCCGGCTTGATGGGCTCCAGGGAGGGGTTTCTGCAGGCAGTGGGGCGCTCTCCTCACAGCACCAAGAGGCTAAGCCTGGTGGTGCAATTCCCAAAAGAAGTGCGACACAACCCAGCCCCCAGCCTGCCCAGTTTCGGCAGGCAGCAAGGTGCTCTCCTCATAGCACCGAGAGGCTGAGCCGGACAGCAGAAATTCAAAAAGAAGCACGAGGCCACCCAGCTCCCAGCCTGCCCAGTTTTGGCAGGCAGCGGGGTGCTCTCCTCACAGCACCAAGACCTGAGCTGGGTGGCACGAATCTGATGAGAAGTGCAATGCTGCCTAGCACCCAGCCTGCCCAGTTTCAGCAGGGAACAAGGTGCAAAGCTGGCAAGTTTCACACGTCCCGGCTCAATCTCTCAGTGCTGTGAGGAAAGCGCCCTGCTGCCTGCCGAAACCAGGCAGCCCACGCTACCATCCAGCCACTTCCCCCCCCCCCCCGCATGGCCTGAGAGGAACAGTGAGGCTCCTCCAGTGGACCATGCCTTGGCACTTGCCCTGGTCCCAATCCCTTCTGACAGAGACCCTCAGATCTGTCCCACTCCTGCCCAGGCCCCCACAGGCACCCTTGACGCGAATGATATAGAGCTAGCCACGCCCACCCAGTAGGCCACACCCATTCTATCCACTCCCACCCAGTAGGCCACACCCACCCTGGTCACACTCACCTGGCCCCCCCGAGGGCAACCGCAATGCTGATGCGGCCCTCAATGAAATTGAGTTTGACACCCCTGGTGTACAGTTATCCCTAATATGCTCTTTTTTGACAAACGGTCATTGAGTCCAAATATAGACCACAAAACTGAAAGAATGCAGCATGTGAAAAATAATTGTGTTCCAATCTGTAAATAGTCTTTTCATGTCTAACTATTTAAAGGGCAGACTAAATTTGCCAGTCTCTTTCCTCCTTAAACACTGTTATAGTTCACAAATTGACTTAACTAGTATATAAAGGCAGAGGTCTTCCCATCCAGATGAGGTTTAAGGGGCAGGTCTTCTCCTAAACATCATCTGAGCTGTATAGTTGCGTTTATTTATTTTACATAGTAGAATTTTATCTTCCTTTTATTACTTTACAGATAGCTCAAAATGACAAACATATCTAATACTACTTATTCCCCTTATTTTCCCCACAACAACAACTCTGTAAAGTGAATTGGACTAAGAGAGAGAGTGCAAAGACACATAGCTGGCTTTTGTGCCTAAAGCAGGATTAGAACTCTTAGTCATCTGGTTTCCAGACCACTACATCTCCAGTCTGTGATTTCTTTAAATTTTTGCAAGCTAAATCATGAATACCCCTACATCATAAGAGTAAAATTTGGAATTCCCCACATTACTGAATTACAATTCTTAGCAAGCATTAATGTTATTCATGATGGTTAAGTCTGCTTGGCATGTGGTTCAGTAACATGTTCCTATGTCCACTCTACAATATACCCAAAGACTTTTTAAATGAGACCTGTGCAAAATTTCACAGCTTAAATGGAGGTATATTCCCTGCAAAAAGTAACCTGGATGTCTACTGCACTGTTTCTAAGTTATTTGTGGCACTTCAACATACCTACAAGATGCCAAGGCTGGAGAAAACTGCTTTAGTCTGAATATGAAACCATTAAGAAAAAGCTTTACCTATCTCTAACTTACCCTTGGGATATTTGCAAAGAGGAAAATATTTTCTATTGCATGAGTCTGTCTTCCAGGTCCCATCCAAATCCATATAAACACAGCCTAATTTTTGTTTTGGTTCATTTGCTGCCCATTTAGTATATTTCATCCGGAACTTATCAATCCATATGTATTGTCCACCAGTCTAAAAAACAAACAAACAAAAAACACACATTGAATGAGAGACATGTTTCTTATAAGACATCACTAATCTGAGTATATTGCACTTTTGATGTGTGTCGTTGTGCCCACAGTAAAAAATGACAATAAAGTTTATCTGATCTTATCTGATCTAGGAATGTTACATTATTGCTTCACCCGAAATAGATCTCGTCAGAATTTAGTTTTTATTTGCAGTAACAACAGCAATCCAATTTGAAATATAAGTATTAAAGTAAATGCAATGTAGGTTGTTTTTATGGATGATTTCACAACAACACTAAGCCTTCATGTTTGCTGTCATAAATCAAGAGAAGTCTTTGGTTCCAAATTCCAATTTCCAATAATTTGCCAAATGCTCATGGACTCACATAATAAATTTAGCTTTCAGCAAACTCCGACTTGGTTAAAAGTTTTGAGAGGTAGAAAGAACAAGAACTGCTTCAGAATAATGTTTGCTTACTTTATTATTTTGTCTATTCTGAGAATCCACGTGCTATATATTCATATTGTTTGAACCTGGCCATTAAGAGCATGTTTAACAAGTAACTAATTCAAAATACTGGCATAATACCAATATGTTTCTGGGTGCAATTCAAGGTGCTGGTAATTACCTATAAAACCCTACATAGCTTGGGAATCTGAGGGATCGCCTTTTTCCTGTCCAAGAGTTTCTACCTATCCTGTTAGATCAAATAGGATGGACATGCTGCAGATCCAACCAGCCAAAGAATTTCAGCTGACGGGAACTTGAAGAAGATGAGCAGAGCAAATCCCATCCGGAGAGTAGAATGGCCCTAGCTCTATTAGCCTTCTACAAAGCTTTAAAGACCTCGCTATGCTCCTGAGCCTACATTCGCCAAGGCCCCCGCCTCCTGAATATATTGTAAACAGGCCATATGTTTTGGTTTGAATGAACCTGAATTAAATATTTTAATGGCTTTTGCTGTTTTAAAATATTTTTTACAATTTTAATTGTAATATGTTTCGGAATTGTGAGCCACCCAGAGTCACTTTCTGAGACGGGTGGCTATAGAAATCAAATCAAATGAATCAATCAATAAATAAATAAATAAATATCAGTATGTGTAAATTCAGGCTCTAGTCTGCGAGGGCAAAGTCATATTAGACTGACTGGAAGGTATAGCAAATACTCATTTCATTCATCTACCGTAGTTTTCTAATTTTCATTTCTACTAAATGGAACAACTGCCCCCCAAATTAATAGCATATTCTCGTATGCTCCAAAATAAATAAACAAATAGAAATTTGAATAGATGGAACTTTGTGGACTGATACAAGCTGCATTTACCAGATTACTGTTGAGGCCAAGCCACACAATCCTTTTTTGTTTTAGTATTTTTAGCCAGAGATATGAGAGGCCAAAGGGATCTAAAATGCTAGCAAGACTCGAGTCTCTCCTGTCACAACTTTTCTTTGCATCTTCCCATGTCATTTTGGCTTCAATGATGAAGTAGCTGCTATTTCTATAATGGAAACGCTGCTCTGGGGTGGTGGATGGAAGAAAAGAGTATTTGGGGTCTACAAAAGAAAAAGAATATTGTAAGGCTCTTTTCAAAAATATGAAGACATAAAATGCAAAAATGAGAAAACCCCTTTTTAGACATATAGTGGAAATGACATCTGAGGCAAATTGACGTTTGTTTTGGGAAAGGTCAGCATAAAATGGGAAATGTGTTTTCAAGGTCAAAACAAATAGCCCCACTTGAAACACTTTCAGGTATTTTGATCATAGAAAATCCTTGGTTTGGTTTGGTTTTTAATTTCATGATCAGGTAATAAAGATGATACCCCCACACTTTTGGGCTGGACTAATGCATGGGATTGTAGATCACTCAGCAGTCAGTTAATTCCAACTGCAGCAGTTTAAGTGATGGGCTTAACTTAGTTACTGTTGATATTTTTACTTTAAGAGCAGCACTAGTTACTAAGTGCAATTCAAGATGGTAATTGTCACTCTTAAAGCCCTGCATGGACCAGGACTTAATTATCTTTGCGATCATTTGCTATGAATAAAGGTTTGCCTATCTGGTGAGATCTGGTAAACCAAATTTGCTTTAGGTCTCATCACCAAGGACAACATGGGAGAACATTCTCCCTGCTCACGTCGCTTCTCCGGTACAGCATACAGTACAGTCAGGTTGAAGGCTGCCCCATCCTTGCTAGTAATTCACAAAATAAATGAAGTACTCGTAGATAGTGACTGATGAAATTTTATATTAATGTATCATGCATTTTGACTTTATTATTGCATTAATCAAATGTTATGCTTCTCAGTCATATTTCATCTGGAAAGGCATGTAAGTCTTAGTAAATAAATAAAACATCTAATTATTATTCTGCACCATGGTTATGGTCTGAGATCAAAGACCATCATAGTCTGGTAGTTGTATTGAAACATTGGGGGGGGGAAATCAGAGAAATTTAAAACAAAATGTGCTTTTCTTTTCAGAAATTAAACAGCGGCAAGGAGGCAAAAATAGGCAAAATACTCACGAGTGTTAGTTTGGCATATGTATCCTTTCTTATAGTAGCAATAACTATTTCTCCATAAGCCTGCACTTTTGTAAGGCGACGATTTCATTGTAATACAATCTTCCTGTGTGAAATGAAAACCATTAATGTTGAAAATGGTATGGATAAACTGCTTAATTTCTCAATCATAAAAATTCAGCAGCCATGGGCAAGCAGGGAAAGTTGATGGAGAGGGTTACATGGAGTCCTCAATTTACAACCACTTGTTTATTGATCATTTTAAGTTACAACAGTCCTGAAAAAACTGACTTATGAACCGTCCTCACAACCACTGCAGCATTTCTCCATAGTCATGTGATCCAGATTGAGACACATGGTAATCAACATATATTTACACTGTTACAGTATCCTTGGGTCATGTGATCACCATGTGCAATCTTTCCAACAGGCTTCTGCCAAGGAAAGTCAATGGGAAAGGCGGATTCACTTAGTGATGACAGGATTCACTTAACAACTGCAGTGATTTGTTTAATAACCCTGATGAAAAAAAACTGGGCAAGATTCACTTTAACAATCACCTTACTTAGCAATGGAATTTCTGGTTCCAATTGTGGCTGTAAATTAAGAACCTCCTGTACAGAAGGAGTCACCATGGTTTCTGGCAGTGGGGAAAAGCAAGAATGTTGCATGCCCATGATGTCAGCAATGTGCTGCAAATGGTAAATCCCACCCACCCAATCCCCCAATCGTAACTCAGCATAGCTCCACAGGATGTTCCTGGAAACACATTTGGATGTATTTGTCAAGAGATGACAAATCTGGGATAGAATAAAGAAATATCATTTGTAATAGCTGCTCTTATACTGTATGCTACCTTATTACAAGATCTGCTATACACCAAGGCAATTCACAAAAGTAGCCTATTTGTTTTCCTCACAGAAAGCATTGGTCAAGATCAGTTTTTCCCTGGGTAACAATAAGAATAGTCACCTGCCCAGTTGCTATCCTTAATTGTTTTGTCCAGTCTGCAGGATACCCCTCACTTGTCCCTCCAAGCTGATTGTTTGGATCAGCAAGCTAGCTAGCAGATTCTGGGAATTGAAACTGTCTCTTCTTACAGTTGCCAAGATTGAGAAAAACTAGCTTACTGTAGATCCTACTCTCAAAGGAAGTAACTTGAGATTCAATTTTCAATATTGCCTCTGCTGATTTATTCTGCTGATAGAGATGTGCAAGCTGAAAGGTGCTTCAGACTGCATGGGATGCTAACATACCCCCTGTCTGTAACTCCTTAAAGCAGCCATATTTTTTCCTATGATTGCCTAACTGCCCTCTGCGATTGCAGCATAATTCTGAGAAAAAGCATACATCTAGTTTTAGAAACTGTAAAGGAGTATATTTTTCTGTACTCCTACGTCTATGTAAGAGAACATCTGCCTTCAAATTTAAATCAAAACAAAACAAACCAATAACCACTTGTAGTTCATTAAATTATTTTGCCTACTTATGTTGCTTTTTTTCTTCTAATCATGTGGCACCAATTTCAGACTCATATAACAGAGGTTGAGGGGAAGAAGATGAAGCAAGGAAATTGGGAGAAGTTTTCAGATTCCATCATGTAGTCAAATACCTACACTGCTTTGTCCAAAACTCAGTGGGAAACCTTTATCCCAGTTGGTGTAACGGACTCCTCTTCCATCTGTCCAGAGGTACATTTGATCCTCATTGATGTCATTTAGTCCTATCCATACATCACTTTGGAATTTATTTAAATGGAAGGTGAGAAAGGCTAAAAAGAAAAAGTAGTGGGAGAAGAATGATCAGAGAAAGTAGACATACCTAATATTTGGGACAGCATGAAACTAAAGCAAATACTTCACTAAATAAAGAATTCTGAAATGAATTAAAACATATTGAAAAGTAGACTTAAATAAATGCATGATGAGTATTTGAAACAAACTCACTGAAGTTTGAAATTTGATTTGGAAAATGTACCAGGCTTTGTGGGAAATGAATAAGCACACCATGAATGTTATAATTCCACTAAGATACTAACTGCTTTTAGATACAGAAGTTTGCCATTAGTAACACAAGTGAGCTCAAGCTTTTATAATGTATATGAACAACATATTTATTTAGGTACTGATTAAAATATTTTAATCTCGCTTTGATCCTAGAGGAATACAACTGAATAATAAAACATATGTGTATGTGTGTGTGTGTGTTGTATGTGTGTTATCAATTTGTAGGGCACCTTTGATCATAAAAGCAGCTCTAAATGATTTACACATTATATGACTGCAAAAATCTGTAAATATTATGGCTGTGTAAATATTTGGAAAGTGATGTGTTTGAGTGTTCAAGAGCACATAAAATATCTTCTTTTTTTTTTCAAATTGTTAAAGCAGCCATGTCTATTTCGGAACTGTTCCTAGCTGTCTTAGCCTCCTGAATGGCCAACGGGGAAAATGCAAAGCAAAGCAAATATTTTGCACAGCTCTAATAAATATATACAACAGGTACATTCCTTTCCTCCTTTGTTTTTAGTATGAAAGGGAACATCTGAAACTTTTTTCTGTAATTTCTATCAAATCACAATTTTCCATTTTATCTTAAAGATGCAAAATGACTTTTACAATTATATTTGCTTGGGGGCAAACACAGGTTTACCATTATCTGTATGTAATAGTAAGAAAATCAAGGAGGAGGAAGAAAATAGCTGTACTAGCAGTAGTAAGAAGCGAGAAAATATGAATTAAGGTATTATAACTTCTCATTTAAAATTCTGGGTTCAAACTAGTATTGTAAGACTCCATCAAAGTGGTCCGGTGGTTTCATTAATGGCATATTCATCCCATAAAACATAATCACCCCAAAGATGATGTAAACTTTCACAAATAAGTAAACTTTTATTAATTGATACGGTGCTTATATACCTTGTACCCTTTCATTGAGTATTGTAACCAGGTTTCCTCCAGTTTCATAATCCTGACAAGCTTTCCGTGCATTTTTCCAATTTTTTCCATCTTCTTGATTAAATCCAAAAAATTTATAGCACTTTTTATATAAAAAAAATCCAAATGCAAGGATAGAGATAAATAAAATTAAAAGTTTATTTCATTATTATTTTAGAAATTTATATAGTCACAGACAATAAAAGCAATACATAACATACAATTTAAAAACCAAATAGCCAGGAAAACAGCATTAGTTAGAAGTCAAACACACCACCCTCTTTGTCATTCTTTTTTGATCCCAGCCTGGGGGAAAAGCCAGATTATCTAAATGGAGACCACATAGATCTCCACTGGGAGAGTCTTCCAGAGAGCCATATTTGCAACAGAGAACAATCTCACAAGTGCTTTTCTAAGTACACTCACTAGATTATGAGTAGCAGCATCCAGTTCTTGATTGATTAGATTTTTATCCCACCTTAATTTATAAGTAACTCAAACTGGAGAACATTCATAGTATTCCTTTCTGTTCTTATTTTCCCCACAACAACAATCCTGTGAGGTGGATTGGGCCAGGAAAAAGGCCCAAAGTCATCTAACCAGCTTTAATGCCTAAGGGAGGGTTAGAACTTAGTGTCCTGGTTTCTAGACCAGATCTTAATCATTATACCAAATTGGCTTTATTAGAAAATTATGGTTGATTTTGAAAAATCGGATCTGATTGGTACTTGGAAACTGACATGTGTCTTCTATTGGGAAATCCAAAAAGATCCCAGAAAACCACTAGGACAGTGTGTTTCCTTATAGCTACCAAATAAACTGGAGGAACTGATATTGGTACCTATGGATGGAGGAGCAAAGAGGGCCAAACCAATAAAAGCTGTGTAATAATGCAAACCCTATCCATTTTTATACAGTATATGCATTGTAATGGTGCACATATGGATGAATACACTGAGCTTGCAGAATGATAATGTTTACACTGCTTTTGCCATTTCAAGAAAAGTAGCAAGTACCTTCCAACTAAGTTATTCTGTTATTTTGTGAATGCCATTGGGACTCAAGTTTAATGTGAAGGAGTCTTGTAATGGTATGTGGGAAAGACCTTGGGAAACTGTGTTTGTGAAGAGATGCTCAGAGACAACACAGCTATTGCTGGATAATGGGCAGACCAAGAGACTCAGAAGGGTCTCTACGTAAGTTCTTGATTAGTAAAGGTAATAATTGTACTTTCAGATTTGCAAGATTCTATTAATGTAGCTTTACCATAAAGTAGAATTAGTTTATCTAGTCATGTATACTGTCTAGTATATATGGTAAGGCTGATGAGCATTTACCTTTATTTTATGTATATATGCACAAAATTCCTCTGTGATGCCATCTTATTAAGGCATTTATTTTAATTGTGTAAAAAAATCTTCCATAGAAAGTCCCTCTCATCTTGTTATCTTTTCGTTTCTTGGAGCAATTCTTTTTTAAAAAGGAAATAATTACTATACCTTGTTTTCAAACAAAAGCCAAGATTCAGCACATCCTCCTTGAAAAGAAGGTGGTGTGGGGGCAACAGTTACATTGACTGAGTTGATATGTCGTTCACATATGAAAGAAGATGGATAGCCACAGTTTATATCATTCCAAAGTCCTAAGCAAGAGAAAAGAAATGGTTGAATGTGAGCAGGGGAAGAGGACCAAAAGGTGATCAAACAGTCAAGAAGGTAAGAACAACCTTGCAACCAAAGCCTCACACATTTCTAATGTGTCAGGACAATAGCTAAAATCAAAAGTCACCTACTGCTTCATGAGCTGCTATTGCATCCATTGATAAACAAGGAGATCATTAGAGGAGTATCTATCTACAAAAATCCACAAAGCTAGATACACCCATGCTAGAAGTGAATTGAGGTCACTATATTGGTGGGTGTCTCACAAGACAGCATTGTCTCCAGATGCCTATTAGCCTGCATGATACACAGACTCTCTAAGACTAAGTCTTGTCCCATTTGTAGTAAGGAACTGATTCCTTTCTTTTTTATTTGCTATTAAACAGTAACATTATTTTAGTTCTTAAGAAACTACTGGAAAGATACAAGTTAAATGCTGAGTGACTAATGGAATTCCAGATTCTATAACCATATATTCTGAGCTCAGGTTATTAAAAAGACATTTCAAACACAACGGACTGTTGGCTAAATAATTAGAAAGACTATGTGACCAGCACTTGAAACAAAATCAAACATTCATATGTTAAATAGTACTGCAGAGAATCAAACAGCTTCTTCCTTCAGCCAATCAGCCAGTCCAAATTCCTTTCAGATTTGGGAAAAGAGCCACAGCTTGCTGTCCAATCTATAGACGTGAATGTCCTAAAAACAGCATGTTAGCTTGAGTCACATTGAAATAACGTATGCATATTACAACTGCTTTTCTAAAGCCATATCCTGGTAGAAGACAACATTAGTGATATAGATGTATTGTGATTAACCAGACTGCATGACATCTCTATTGATCAATTTGGGAGTCACAGAATATTTTGAAAAGTAGACTTCACTGCAACTCCAGATGTACTAATCTCCAATTCAGGAATTGCAGCAGCTAAATAAATCAAAACAATGCTCCTCAGCAATGATTAGCAAATTAGGAAAGTGATTTTTTTTCCAGACCAGAGCAGCAGCTAAACCAAAAGGAAATATCACAATGACCTCCAAGTTTAGGGAAAGACTAGAACTAGTAAAAGTCATACTCTCAAGAAAATGTGAGACAGCCTTGGAAAAAGTAGAGAAGAATCTAGAGATGTTGAGAATGTTATAACCCCAGCACAGTTTATCAAGGCCTTGACAAAGTCTCAATCCTATAGTGCAAAAATACATTTTCCCATATTCAAAGTCTTTTGTTATATGTATCCTGACAATTATTGATTGCAAGATATTGAAACACGCAAAAGGCACATTTATTACATGCTACTGGGCCTGTATCAGTGGTGGGATTCAGCCAGTTCGCACCAATTTGGCAGAACTGGTAGCTAATTTTTTGTTGCTCAGGCCTAGAATGGACTTCCGAAAGGGGCATCCACACAGAGAACCAGTTGTTCATATATTTGAATCCCACCACTGACCCGTATGCTTCTTTACTGTATACAGGTAGTCATTGACTTACAACCATTCACTTAGTGACTGTTCAAAGTTATAATGGCACTGAAAAAGTGACTTATAACCTGTCCTCACATTTATGATCATTGCAGCATCCCTACATGATCATACTTTGGGCTCTTGTCAACCAGCATGTATTTACAATGGTCACACTGTCCTGGGATCATGTGGTCACAATTTGTGACCTTTCCAAACAGCTTCTGACAAACAAAGTTAATGAGGGAAACTAGATTCATTTAATGACTCTGTGATTCACTTAAATAGCCAAAGGCCAAAAAAATGGCCATACTCACTTAATTATTGCCTTGCTTAGCAAAAGAAATTCTGATCCCAAGTGTGTTCATAAGTCAAGGACTACCTGCATATATTTATTTTTATATATATATATATATATATATATATATATATATATATATATATATATATATATATATATATATATTCTGCATTGTGAAGTAAGTCATCATTACTAAAACCATGCATTTAGGATGCATACAGAAACACATCAGAAACTGGTATTGTCAACTAGCAAACCACATACCTGTATTCCTATAAATGACCACACAGTTTTCATCGTTGTTTGCAAAGTTAGGTTCATGTGGTGCCCAGGCAACATACTGGACAGGAGTTCTATCCATCCAGCTTTAAGAAAAGTTAACATGTTATTGTTAATCAATGTAAAAGCAAAGGCTCCCATTAGAACTGTGTTTCTCAAACTTGCCAACTCTAACATGTATGGACTTCAATTTCCAGAATTCCCCAACCAGCGTTCCCCAACCAGAATTCTGAGAGTTGAAATGCACACAATTTAAAGTTGCCAAATTGAAAAACACTGCATCATAATGACACCATGCAGAGGGAATCCTTTAACCTACTGGAAACCATGGATGGAAACTAAACAAGTAGAGAAGCAACCTACAACTAAGGAGAAATTTCTAGACAGCTTGAACAATTAATCAATGGAACAACCTGCCTCCAGAAGCTGTGAATGCTCCAATACTGGAAGTTTATAAGAAGAGACTGGACAATTATTTGTTTGAAATGGTATAGAGTTTCCTGCCTGAGCAGAAGGGTTAGACAAGGAGGTTCTTACCAAGTCTGTTATTCTGTTACTCCCCACATGGGGTAGTAAGGACAGTATGTCTTGTGAACTAGTCCAATGTATTGGGCTTTCCTGGATGAAAATCCTAATTGTCTGTCTGAGGATAACAAAATAAGCAAAAAAAAAAAACATCCTCATATAATAAAATGCAGTGTTTTCTGTTTGCTCACCTGACTACTTTATCAAGGCTCAGGTACAGTCCAATGAAATAACTATTCACCTGTTCGTTTTGTAAGATCTAAAGAATCAAAACAAAAGACCGTCACATATATTTGTAGCCTGGGAATTATGTCTCAAGCAAGAATATATTAAGCTTTAAGAAATTATTTTAGAAAACAGCATTGTTCCTTTAAGAACAAAGCTAATAATCCAATAATTGGCTCCTAATTTTTTTTAATGACCCTGTAATCCCTTGATTTGAGGTGGAGTCAGGGCAATTGAATGGAGCTGAGTATTTACTGGTTATTGGTTCCTAAATAAAAGTAGAAAAATATCAGGCAGGGAAATTGGTTAAACACCCCAACTCCAGCCTTTTCTTCTTACATTCCATAATATGGATTTTCTGTAACTTTTAGCAATGGTCATTGCTTTAGCACAGACATCTGATAAATTTTTAGTTCTGCACAAGGTACAACTCTGGTAGTTCTTCTTTATCAACCCAGATAAAATTAAGGATCATATTATTTTAGCGGTGTGATTTCCTCAATTAGGCAGAAAGATGCCTTAAGGCAGTGATTCTGAACCTTTCTAATGCCGTGACCCCATAATACAGTTCCCCATGTTGTGGTGACCCCCAAGTGGGTGTGGCCACCAATAAGAGGGATTAGGACAGCTAGGGAAAAGGGAAAAAAATGGTGGACAGCATGGTTTGGCGACCCCCGTGAAATGGTCATTCGACCCCAAATGGGGTCCCGACCCACAGGTTGAGAACCACTGCCTTAAGGAGATTTTCAAAAGATAATTATAAAGAATCAAGTCTGAAATGGAATAGGGTCTCCTACTTGAACAGAGGGTTGGACTAGAAGACCTTCAAGGTCCCTTCCAATTCTCTTCTTCTGTTAAGTCAATCTAACCTGACAACAGATAGATGATTTGCTGGGCACTAATGTAAATGTTAATAAATAAATATTTGCCAGCTTTTAATTGCAATCATAAAACAGATTTGTCAGTATCCAGCATTTGTTAACCTAGCTTTTTGTTCCTTGATTAAAAACTACAAACATAACTATTTGTCTGAAATGGTATAGGGTTTTCTGCTTGAGCAGGGGGTTGGACTAGAAGACCTCCAAGGTACCTTCCAACTCTGTTGTTCTGTTATTCTGTTCTGGTTAAGAGCAATGGCTTTCTTATGATGATATTCAATAGAATTGATGCTGGAGCCATAGGATAGAAGAAAGCTGATGTGCATGGAATACAGACTAGCATGTCTGAATTTTAGATCAAGTTTTGAAAATCAACAGCTGTCCTTTCATACTTATTCCAGCACTGTTAAAGTATTTTGATATGAACAATTGTAGAATAGATACAATTTGTATGTTATTTAAATTTTAATTCACTAATGGGAAAAGCTCGAATATATTCATTATACTCCACAATGTACATTTTGTGCTATAAATTTATAAAGAAGGCTATGGTTATTGTAAGCCATCAAGAATCATCATTTGGCGGCCATGGAAATTCCTTAAATAAACTAAAAATAAGCAAATAATACACATTCATTGTTTTCATATCAAAAATAATAAATGAGCGCCTTACATATTTCCAGATAAACTTCCTTTCAGTGTTGTCTTCAATGACAAGCAAATCTCCAAAGTTTCTTTTGCAAAATGCACGAGCTTCTTCCATTGGAAATTTGTTGGTGTTGAAATAATATTGCTTGTCTCCATTGACGACCCAGCCATCACTAGTAAATTGATAATCTATGAGAGATATTAATTAGCTATTTATCCCACATTTATTACTTAGTAATTTAAGGCAGCAAAGATACACAATACGGCATACTCCATTTAATCCTCCAGGGAAAGATTGAAGGCAAACGAGGTCCAGGCAGAAGAAGAACATCATGGCTTCAAAATCTAAGGGACGGGTTTGGACAAAACTCAGCAGCACTTTTTCGTGCGGCTGCTGATAAAAACAGGATCGGCAACATGATCGCCAATGTCCAATAACGGATATGGCACAAGAAGAAGAAGAAGAAAGATACACAATACATTTCCTCTTCTTATTTTCTCACAACAATTTTAGAAGTTGAGCTAAGAGAGAGTGACTGACCCAAAGTTACCCAGACAGCTTTCATGCCTAACATGGGATTAGAACTTATCATCTCCTGGTTTCTAGGCCAACAGTACACCAAACTGACTCTCATATTCTGTGGTCCCAGCTAGCCAGCCAATCAGCAAGTAGCCTTCAGTTTATGAAAAGATCTGACAATGCTACAAATTTGATCGATTTCAAGACTCTCATTGGGTGATTTTGGGATATTCTCCTTCAGTCCAACTTAATTTATAGGACTGTTGTGGTGATCACACTAGGATACAATCTCCCCATGTACACTGCAGCACAAATCATAATATAATATAAATAGCCAAGATAGAATTAAATATTTTCTTCCTGTATTGTAGCTAATAACAAATTGAGACTCTCCAGCTTGTTGAGGAAATGATAACAGAACAATAGAATAACAGAGTTGGAAGGGACCTTGGAGGTCTTCTAGTCCACCCTATGATCAAGCAGAAGAACCTACAACTTTTCAAACAAAGGACTGTCCAATCTCTTTTTAAAAACCTTTGGTGGTGGAGCACCATAAATTCTGAAGGCAAGCCTTTTCACTGATTCATTGTTATGTCAGGAAATTTCTCCTTAGTTCTAGGTTGGTTCTCTCCTTGATTAGCTTCCATCCATTGCTTCTTGTGCTGCCTTTAGGTGCTATGGAAAATAGGTTGACATGCTCTTCTTTATGACAGTCCCTCAAACATTGGAACACTGCTATCATGTCACCTCTAGTCCTTTTTTCATTAGACTAGATATACCCAATTCCTGTAACTGTTCTTTATATATTTTTGCCTATTCATTTTTGTTGCTCTTCTCTGCACTCTTTCTGGAGTGTCAACATCTTTTTTATATTGTGGCAACCAAAACTGGATGCAATATTCCAAGTGTGATCTTATCAAGGCATTATAAAGCAGTATTAACACTTCATGTCATCTGGATCCTTCTGTTAATGCAGCCTAGGATTGTATTAGCTTTTTTGCAGCTACAGAACACTGCTGGCTTGTATTTAAGTGGCTGTCAACAAGGACTTCTAGATCCCTCTCACAGGTACTACTATTGGGCTAAATACTACATATTAGATATCTGTACATTTGGTTTTTCTTTCATAAGTGTAAAAACCTTGTTTTTCTCACCATTGAATTTCATTTTATTAGATAGGGCCTATTGTTCAAGAGTGTCGAGATCCTTCTGGATGTTGAGCCTATCGTCTGGTGTGTTGGTTATTCCAGACAATAGTTTGGTGTTATCTGAAAATTTGGTAATTTCCCCTTCTATCCCCTTGTCTAAATAATTTATGGAGATATTGAAGAGTATTGCATCTAAGACACTGCATACTTCCCTCCACATAGATGCGGGTCCATTAGGGACTGCACATTGAATACAGTTGATCCATTTGGTGGTGATGCTGTCTACCCATATTTTTCTATATTATCAAGTAGTAGGTTGTAGTCCACTTTATTGAATGTCTTACTGAAGTCCAAGTAAATTATGACCACAGCCTTATACTAGTTCACTAATTTAGTCACTTTGTCAAATAATGCAATAAGATTTGTTTAGTGCAGGGGTGTCAAACTGCTGGTCCACCAGCTGGATGCATCACCAGGAAACTGCGCCCATCCCATTGCTGGCAATGGGGAAAAAGCTCTGATACTCCGCATGACATCACGTGATGTTGTGAGTTTGACATGTCTGGTCTAGTGTGATCTGTTTTTGACAAACTCATATTGGCTTCTGGTTGTAATTCTGCTTGCCTCTAGGTATTTGCAGATTCATTGCTTGTTTATCTTTTCCAGGATCTTTCCAGGTGTTGATGTCACGCTGATAGATTTATAGATTCCCGAATGCATTTTTTTCTCTCTTTTTTTGAAAATGGTAATTATGTCAGCTCTTTTCCAATCCTCTGGTAACTCCCCACTGATTCAGAATCTTTGAAAAAATATAGGTCAGGATCTGATTCCAAGATCATGTTTGCTAATTCCTTCAGACTCCTGGGATGTAATCCATCTGGACCTGGTGAATTGAAATCATCTAGAATATAAGTGGTCTTTTATCATTTTCTTGCCTCTTTTGACTTGCATTGCTAATCTTTTTTATGGTGCTGTTTTTGATAGACTAAGCTATTTTTTTCATTTTGTGTGAAGACAGATACAAAGAATGAATTAAACAGCTCCATTTTCTCCCTGCTGCCCGTCACTTCCTTGCTATCTTCTCCTTTTAGTGGACCGATTGTTTCCTTGACTTTTTTCTTGTTTTTTATATGTTAAAAGAACTTTTATAAAAAAAAATGACATTTGTTGCAAGTTGTTGATTCTGACTTCATCTTTGTAGATTCGTGCTATATGCATGTATTCTGCCTTAGTTATGTTTCCTTCTTTCCATTTTTTATACTTGTTCTTTTTGTCTTTCAGCTTATCAGATGTAACCATGCTGGTTTGTTCTTGGATCTATTTTTTAATGGTATTGTGATGGACTGGGCTTTCATAATCTCATTTTTCACAGTCTCCCAAGCTTCTTCAGTTGTTTTCATCCATGGAATTCTTCCCAAGGTTGTTGAAATCAGCTCTCTTAAAGTTTATGATATTGGTTTAAAGGTTTTGCCTATCCAATCCTTCATTGTAGGCAATGTAAACCATGGTCTAATAATCCAAACTTTTCTTGAGGACACCAACTCTTAAGCCAATGATTTATTTTCCAAGTCCTCTATCCTCTCATTGGATGTTGACCTTCCTTTGGAAGTACAGATAAAAACACCACATGAGCTGCTCATGTATATAACGATCTGTGCACTTCATTATTTTACTAAGGCTCTCAGTCACATTTTTTACTTTCACTCCTGACAGGCAAAATACCTCCCTAAATTGATTATCAATTCTACAATTTGCGGATTATGTTCCTCTGAGAAGTGAATCTCCTGTCATTAAAAAAAACCTTTTTTTTTCCTTGGGAAAGTTTGGGCTACTTTTTTTGCTATCACTGGAACATTGGATGATGTCCATTTTTCAGGTGTCTGCCTGCTTTCTTCTAGGGGGAGGACATGAATTTGATTTCTTAGCTCCAGCAAGGTTGTACTGGGCTGAGCTTTACTAGACAGCAAAAAAAATATTAAATTTTAAAAGTTCATTTAAAACTATTTTTCACTATTTCCAGCCATCAGTGCTCTCAGCAAACTGCAACAAATAAATGTGTCAATGTACAGACTATGACGTCATTATGCTGCCTTTACTTATTTGTGTTCTACATTTAACACAAGCATATAAGTAATAGCATTTGCTTGAAAATGCCACATGCCCACTTTGTCCTCAAGAAGACAATTTTAACTTTATCATTAGCATAGAAAGATTTCATCAGAACAAACCATAGAAACATACTTATAGGGGGTGGATTTGTTGGTTCTGGTTTTAGTTGCACACCTGAAAAAGAAAAGTTAGAGTAAAATCTCATTAACATATATGGTTCCTCAATTAAAAGGACAAAATTGAATAACATCATACTTTTACTCTAATAAATGATTGAGGAGTGGTGCCTTCAAGTCATGGTTGACTCCTGGCAACTGTTTGAACCTGTCCCTGCATTTTTCTTGGCAAGGTGTTTTTGGGAAGTGGGTTGCCATTGCTTCCCTCCTAAGGCTGAGAGATAGTGCTTGGTTCAAAGTTATTTAGCTGGCACTAATTAGTGTAATTATCATAATTCAAATAAATGTTTCAAAAATCTTCCCTAGATGATTTAAAATTGTAATTTTAAAGGGCATAAAGATATGATGAGTCAAGCAAAGAATTTAACTAAAACAGCATCCTGTCCTCTCCACTGGTCAACCAAATCAAAACTCCACAAATGGTTATTTTCTTCTGTTTCTGCTCTTCTGGGAATATTTAATAAAAATTATGCATAGCCCACATGACTAATAGCCACTGACTTTTTTTAAAAAAGAATACTAAATATTAACAGAGTTTCATCACTCCCATTCATATCTAGATTTCAACAAAATATCAACAGAATTTTCAAGGATGAATTCTTTACCATTTTTCTTTTCACTGAAAAAAAAAGAAATTCCAAATATCTTACTTGGAACTGTAACAGGTATTGTAACCATTATATTAAATCTAACATAATTTCAGTGAATATTTGACTTGTCACTATCAAATTTCATAGCATGCTGACAAAGGAAAAAATGAAAATGTAGATTGGCTCAATTTAATTATACTATGATAACAAATGCTAGTTGCTCCAAAATCACAGCATTCACACTGTGAATTGATTAATAGAATCCATTGTGACAGATTTGAAGCTGGCATAATCCTCTCATTGATATTAAGGAATAAAATGTTTATATGGTGTAAAAATAATAAAAAATCACCATTTTTCCATCATATAAACATTTTATTCCTTAATATCAATGAGAGGATTATGCCAGCTTCAAATCTGTCACAATTTTTAAATTCCCTGAAGGAAAGTGCAAGAGACTAAAGGCATTTTTTTAATATGATAAATCCACTACTATCTCTCATGCCTTCCCAGCTTGCCCTGTTAAGCTTACATTGCTTGGTCACCAAGAAATTAAATATTCTAGTTAATTTTATTGATAGAAATTTTAAACAAGGATAATTAATGTTTATTATGCCCAAAGTCCAGCCAAATTACAGATTAATTTTAAAAAAAAGTAAACACATTATTATTGGTTAGTGATGCTATTAACCTGATATCAGTGTGAAGATGTTATGATTTCATATGACAAAGAAAGTTGTACCTTTCGTAATCTGGCAGATCCAGAAAAACATTTCCTCACAGTGTACATCATTCCAATACATATTTTCTGGATTTATCTCTCCACAATGTTCCGCTCCATTATAATTATTGGGTTCTCCATATGCCCAGTTGACATAACCTAGCTAATATAGAAATATGTAATATTCATTTGTTGAAAAAATACATTTTATGATGCAAAATTCAAACTAATTGTACATAAAAAGTCCCCTACTATTGAGTCTGAAAACTGGTCCACCTAAGCAAACATTGCTTACACTGACTGGCAGTGACTCTCTAGAATTTAAACTGGAATTTTTAAATCTGTATTAGTGGTTTCAGGTTTAATATTGGGTTTTTTACAGGCTAAGCAGTGTCCTGCCATTGAGACAATCAACTGCAACAGTCAAGGAAATGTCCTAATTTCTCAGGGATACTTTTTGATAATTCATTTTGCTTGAGTTTTAAGATGTTAATCGTATCATTTTTCCATCCACAGATTATAGGGCCAGGCAAGCTTGTTACCTTGCTTCCTTGCCTGCTTGCTTATTTACTTATTTGTTTGTTTGTCTGTTTGTTAGATTTTATTGATTTTTATCCCATCTTTATTATCAGATTGGCAAACTTACATAATGTTCCTTCTTCTTCCTACTTTCCCCCAATAATAACACTGTAAGATGAGTTGGGCTGAGAGAAAGTGACTGGCCTAAGGTCACCCAGCTGGCTTTCCTACTTAAGGCAGAACTAGAACTTAAGTTCCTTGGATTCTAAGCCAAACTGTTATTTTAGTTGGAGGCCAGGTTTCATTATCCCCATTTATCAATATTATTTGTTTGCTTATCCAACACACCTTCCTCCTCTTGTTTTTCCAACAATAACAACAACCCTATGAGATGTGTTGGGCTCCAAGAAAGTGATTGACCCAAAATCACCCAACTGACTTTTATTATGATCTTCTACCTTTGGTCACTGAAAGGATGATGCAGTCACATTGCTAGAGAGGACATAGCAGATATTTTGGGGTTTGGTTTTTTTTATTGTGTAGGGTGCCTTGGGGGCTAAAGGTAAAAGAGATCCATCCCTTTATATGCCATAGAATATGTAAAATAAATACATAAGCAAGCTAGCCTTGGGGAGGTGTAATCGTTTATTTTCTCTTTATTTTATTTTAAAATAACTGAATTTGCTCTTTTGCCAACAAGATTTGGCACTGAGTTTTCTGGAGGAAGATAGTTATATTCTGGAGATCAGCAAACCATTCAATTCTGATCTAAGGCTTGAAGTTTGGTGATGAATCTTTTACCTCAGTTAGCAACCAAATCTTCTTCAAGTTGTCCCATTTTTTTTGCTCCCCCTGATGGTAGATGACCTCACCCTGGGCTTCGTGTAGATGTTAGATAGGAGGGAGAAAGTAGCAGGCTCTGCAGAGCCACAAAAAGCAGCCATGGACTGAATCTCTCACTTCCTATCAACACTGACTGGGACTGATCTTGGACAAAGGAGTCAAACCAGCACAAAACTCCATTGCCCAGCCCCAAATCCTGCAGCCAGCCCAAAAGGATATTACAGTCAAGGCCTCTGAGGGGTCAAGGAGAGCAAGGATGGATGCATTCCCCCATCCCACTTTTACCAGAGAATAATAATAATAATAATAATAATAATAATAATAATAACAACAACAACAACGTCTGAATAGTGGACGTGGCAGCACCTGGAGACAGCAGAATAGATGAGAAAGAACTGGAGAAGATAACAAAATACAAAGATCTACAAATAGAAATAAAAAGACTGTGGCAAAGGCAAGCAATGTAGTTCCAATAGTAATAGGCACCTTGGGTGCAATCCCGAAACAAATGGAGCACCACTTGAACACCATTGGCATTGACAAATTCGCCATTAGTCAATTGCAAAAGGTGGCCTTACTAGGGACGATATCTGTAATACCATCAAACATTCACATCTGCCTATCCCAGGTCCTTGGTAAGGACTCAATAGGTAGACAAAAATGCAAATCCAGTCTGAACATCTGGCTGACTGTGCGATGATCAATAATAATAATAATAATAATAATAATAATAATAATAATAATAATAATAAAGTTGGAAGGGACCTTGGAGGTCATCTAGTCCAACCCCCTGCTCAGGCAGGAAACCCTATGCCATATCAGACAAATAGCTGTCCAGACTCTTCTTAAAAACTTTCAGTGTTGCAGAGCTAACCACTTCTGGAGGCAGGTTGTTCCACTGGTTAATTGTTCTAACTGTCAGGAAGTTTCTCCTTAGTTCTAGGTTGCTTCTCTCCTTGATTAGTTTCCATCTCTTGTTTCTTGTCCTGCCTTCAGGCGCTTTGGAGAATAGCCTGACTCCCTCTTCTTTGTGGCAACCCCTGAGATATTGGAACACTGCTATCATGTTCCCCCCCCCTTGTCCTTCTCTTCATTAAACTAGACGTCCCAATTTCAGCAATCGTTCCTTATATGTTTTAGCCCCCAGTCCCCTAATCATCTTTGTTGCTCTTCTCTGCACTCTTTCTAGAGTCTCAACATCTTGAAATATTCAATATTGTAGAATGCAATATTTCAGTGCAATATTCCAGATCCCTTATTTTTTCAATTCAATTCCCCAGTCTACTTTGCCAAAGCTTTGAGGGAAGTTGGCCAGAGAAAGAAATATTAAAAAGGGCAGAAAAATATATTTTTCCTCAAAAGGACTTTTTAAAACCAAACCTGGCCCCAAATCTATCTCTCTGCCCCAAGCAAGACTTTAGTCCCATACAAATGCAGATGTAAAACCATCAGAAAGTTGGAGCCAGAGCAATCAAGAAGGCAAAAGAGAAGATCTGCATACCCCACCCAAACTCTAGGAATCAGCCCCATCACCTGGGAAGCAAGATATGATAATAGAATTAAATCACAGATATCAAGGCCTAGACAAACACTCAGAAACAGCCTCAAGGTTCATGCCACAGGAACAGGAAACTATTCCAAAAAAAAGGCTAGAGGGGGTATAAAAATCTACTACACCATGTGCTCAGCCCTTCTCTCCTCTGCTCTTTCCTGAAGAACCATCTCTCTGCAATAAACTGTAACCTTCTTCCCAAAGCAGTAGCCATGTTAGCTTATTTATTCCCGGCTTGGATAAACCAGGATGAAGACTTTACTTCTAACAGCTTATTCTTTTTTAAAAAAAAAAAAACAGAAAGAATATTGCCTGAGAAAAAAGTTGAAATCACTCACTGGTGAATCATCACTCCATTTAAACCCATCCTGTTGGTTTATATAATTTAAACCAATCCAGTATTGCATGATTCCAGAAATCCTACAATATAACACAAACACAAATAAAATCAATGTTTTTAAAAAGTGAGATAGACTATAGTTAATTTCCATTAAAATCTGAAAAAGTTTGAAAATTTCTATAAATGTTTTTGATAGGTAGACTCACTATGTAATGAAAATGCAAATTAATTTTCAAATGGTTTTTTTGGCCTTTTAAAATAAGGTTAATATGTATATTACCAGCATATTAAAAAGGAGTGAGATTTAAATCATGGCCTTTGCCCACACCATCTATCAGCAAAAGAGGAGAATAATGGGAGTGTCAGAATGAAGAATGATGAGAAGGTAAATGGACAGCCAGCAGAAAAGAAAAATAGATGGATATCAAACAAAAAGAAAAGTTAGGAATTCTTTCTACTTTGGGCTTACTCCATTCCCCCAACCAGCAAGCAGTTCAGTCCCAGATTAAGAAATTTCCTTGGGAATCTGATCTTCAGCAGGAAAAAAATTGGTCATCTCAAAGAGAATGTGTTACAAGTCAGATTCTGACCCTAACATTTAATTCAGTGTTTCTCATTTTGGCATCTTTAAATGTTTGGACTTCAACTCCCAGTATTCTTCAGCCAGCTAAACCACATATCTTAAAGTTGCCATGTTTGAAAAACCCTAGTTTAATTATTCTGTCACTTTATTTCAATGCTTAGAATCTCCAGCGCAGTATTAAGCAGTGATATGTGGGTTGATACGTGTGAATTCCATCTTCTTTATTGTCTACAACAGGGCTTTTCAACCAATGGTACGGGTACCACCTGTGGTAATTGGCACCTGGCAGGTGGTACGCAACTATCCTAGAAAAGTGGTAGCGGGGGAGGGGAATGAGCTGAACTGGTGGCAGCACCGCACAAGCCTGAGCAAGAGATGGCTGGAGCTGCAGGGCTGTCAGAGCTCAGCGGAAGCGCCAGGATCAGCGCCAGGTTCAGCGCTGATCCTGTTGCTGAGCCCTGAAGAAGCACCAATCAGCTGGAAAGCGGCACTGATCCTGGAGCTTCTGCTGAGCCCAGAAAAAGTGCCGATCAGTTGGATTGTTGCAGCATCTCCAGGGTCTTGTGATTTACATTCAGATGCTTGGCAACTGATTCATATTTATGAAGGTCCCAGGGTCATGTGAAGTGACCAAAACCTGCTGCAACCACCCAGCAGATGGGGGGCAATGAAAATCAAACACCCCCCCCACCCCACCCCCGCTGCCAATCCTCAAGAGAAATGCTCACATCAATGAAAATCTCAGACAGGAGGAAGAACACCACCGGGTGGGCAGGCAGGTATCTTGCTCGGCTGTGGTTTGGGTGGCACTTTTTTCAGTGCCATTGTAACTTCAAACAGTCACTAAGTGAACTGTTGTAAGTCGAGGACTACCTGTACCTTATCACTTTTGGGGGAGGGGTCATCAAGTTTTTCACACCTCGTTGGTGGTACTTGGATGTTGCCATATTCTAAAAGTGGTACAATGTGTGAAAAGGTTGAAAAGCCCTGGTCTACAAAACATAAAGGCATTTTGATTATGTTCCTGGAATGAAATAATTACGATTGCAGAGATGCATCCATGGACTTACCGCAAATAATTCTGCAGCTTGTTGGATTCTTTGGTACTAGAAATGGTAGCCAGATCTCCTCCAATTGCTAAACAGAAACTCCGAGCCTCTGCCCATGACCTCTTGCCATGGTTTAAGAAAACCTAATGACAATACATTACTTTGCAGTTAGGCAGGAGAAAAAAATGTACACATGATAAAGTTGAAAAGTGTGTCATTAGCAAAGCCTGGTAATGATATTGACATAATCACCAAAGTCACAACTGTAAAAGAGATACGGGATGTAACAGTCAACATTAAAATTAGTTTCCCTACTTCAGTTATGTGCAACTGTTGATTATAATTGTTAATCTATTTTATACACTGACTCACATAACTCTTTTTCCCCAAGTCTTATTCTCTCCAATTGGTTGGAATTCAAGTCCAGAGCAATTCCCAGAGCAAACCCAGTTAGCAGTAATTGGGAGAAGATGATTACATCATCCATTACTATCTATTTTGGCTATATGTTGTTTTCTGAAATTTTTGTTTACCTACCCCTCACATTCTTTGTAATAAATATTTGAGGAATTAAAGCTCAGGATCTTGGCGTTCACACCTGATACTCTTCTATCAGGTTATTGGGCCTTGCGTCTTTCTCAAAAGTAAAGAATGCACAAAAAATAAAGTTAAACAAATAAAACAGCTCTCAAGCTATAGAATGCACATAATTTCATCTCCATTTTTTCTATTTCAGGAAAAAGTGGAACACTTCCCCACCACCAGTTAGGTCTGAATTAAACTGCTTTTTAAATGTCTTCTAAACTGCTTACAGCTAATTATGGGGGACTCCATTGAGTTTTCCATGGATGGAAATGCAAGGTAACATTTATTTTATTAAATTTAGATTCCACCCATTTTACTCACAAGTGGCAATAGCAATGCAATATAATAATAATAGTAAAATAATGAATTTGCATTGAGCATAAACACTTGGAGATATTATGGACATGTAGTCTTTTTGCCAACAATACAAAAGTAATTCACCAATGCCTTCTTCCAATATATCCTACTCTGATAATTTCCTATCCATGTACAAAATAATTCCAAGCCTCTTAGTTTTATCTAAACCAACCAAGGTTTTCATATCTAATGAGAGAGTTTCAAACGAAAGACCCGGTATTGTATTGAATTGGTAGGATTTCTCTCCAGAGATGTGGGAATGAGCAAAACGCTGCTACAGATACCAATATGCATTTAGGTATGTCATTTGTCCTAGAGGAGTACCTTATAGTTACAAAAATGAGAGGAAAGATGCATTTATTAAGATTTGCATACATTTGGTGTCTCAGCAAATGGCAGTACTTAACTGTGGTCCTCAGGAGCATCAGTGGAGGGGATCAAAAAATTGTCCAGATGACAGCCACAACTATGCAATCAAAACCCTGCCCTTTTTTTATGGCTTCAACATATGTGGAAAGGGGTGGGGCTTTCACACACACACACACACACACACACACACACACACACACCATTGCTGGTTCAAAAGTTATGTTATTGAAACTCTGTGTTTAGACTTCAGTAGGTGTCTTTGGTAAGAGACCAGCAGGAAGAAAGACAAATAAGGTATATCATGGTTGTTATTGTGGCAGGAAAGTTTTTTAAAAAATCCTTCTAGAATAGGGGTGTCAAACTGCCAGACTGCAGGCCGGATGTGTCATGCCGAAACTGCACCCACCCCATTGCCAGCAATGGGGAAAAAAGTCACAATACGTCGCAACACATCACGTGATGTTGCGAGTTTGACATCCTGTTCTAGGAGGCAATGTCAAATTACTACCATATTGTTACTAAAAAGATTACATGCAACATTCATGAAGTACCAAGAACTGAGCTTAGCTTTTCTTATGTCATACATTCTACATTGAAGTGGCATACTTTGAAGCACATATTTCTTTCTTCACTTGCAGCCCAGCCTTCAGGACACTGAGGAGCAGGTGTTGTAGTTGGTATCGGTGGAGGGGTCACGCCATCAGCAAAGCGCTTACAAAGAAACTTTGCCCTGGTCTCACATTTCAGAAGATCCCATAATCCAGCTGTAAATCCAGTTGTCATTGCAACACAGCCTGGCTTCCGACCTTCATGATAGATCAAACAATAAACATGTCTGTATAGTTTAAAGTGAGCTATCTTATTCAAGTTAGATACTTAGTTGCCTCTTGATTTACTTTACTATCTTCCCAAACCATTTCCCCAAAGTATGCTATCATTTTTTAAAATTTGGCATTACATTGTTTGTAAAGAATGAATAAATAAGGAACATTATTTCTAAAGAAAACATAACTTTATGCCAAATTGGCATTGTGCCAGGCTTAGATTTATTATCCTTATCTTCAACAAAACAGAACAGTTGAAATCTGAATAAGAATATTTCAAAATATTGCTCATTAATTTATTTTTGGATTTAATTAGATCAACAGCCAGTTCTAAGAAAGGAAGTAATTAACAATAATAAGACCAATTAAATAAAATGACCTTTATTATTTATTTATTTATTTATAATCTATTTGCATTCCATCAATTCCAAGGAAGCACATTTTCAGAAAGAAATGTTTGTGTGACTGAGAAAAACAAATAAAAGTATCCTTAGATGTCCTTAAGTCAAGATATGAGGTGGGAATTTTATTAAATCCAATAGGTTTGAGTAGAGCCATCTCCAAATGTTAACTATATGTACCTGGCATTTCTGAATTCCAGTGAGTGAACTGGACTGGTTGTCCATTGGTCCACCTGAATGTTCCTTTTTCTTGTATGTCAGAAAGACCAATCCAGATGTAAGGTTCAGTCCTGAAGCCAACCAAACTGGTCAGAAAAGCTTGTTCATATCTGTAGAAAGGAGATAATTGGCAATATTTTTGCCAATTTTTATCAAATATTTTGTCAATATTTATATCAATGTGCTATTCCTGCTAATATTAATGTGCAAAATGATTTTTAAATTCTTTAAATCAAGTGCATATTTAAGAAAATCAATCCTGACTGTTCTTTGGAAGGACAGATACTGAAGCTGAAACTCAAATACTTTGACCACCAAATGTGAGGAGAGAACTCATTGAAAAAGACCTTGATGCTAGGAAAGATTGAAGGCAGAAGAAGGAGACAGCAGAGGATTAGATGGTTAAATAGTGTCATCAACACAGTGAAAATTAATTTGGGAAGACTCCAGAAAATAGACGGTGGAGGGCAAAGGGGCCTGGCATACTGTGGTCCCTTGGGATCGTTAATAGTTGGGCACGACTTAGCAACTGAACAACAAAATTGCATATTTATTCAAATTTCAGGAATGTTTTAGAATGGTTTACTAGAAAGAGAGCATGTTAATTACTGTAGACCAATTCTTTGATGGTCAGCAGAGAATTGCCCTACAGTGATGAGTAGAACAAATTTCTTTTGGATACTGTAATAGTTGTGGTTGAAATGGAGATAGGAATCACAAAGTTCCCAGGAGTAGACAACTTCCTGTCATCCATACAAGCAATAATCCAAACTAGTACAGCCAAGAGGCAATTAACATGGGTCCAATATTTGGAGAGTATCTTATCAACCAGAATTAATGCTCCCTCCTAAATGAATCACATCCATAAAGCAGGAATTGTCTATTTTTTTTCTCCTACTGTTTGAAATTTCTTTATTCTAGAAAAATTGCTCCTGTTGGTTGGAACAATTTTAGATATTGTCTGTCTTTAAATTTAGTTAAGTGTTGCACCAAAGTTAGTCTCAATGGAGTTAAATATTTTTCAACTTGAATATGTGTTACTTAAATCAGCTTCCTAACTTGAGAACCACTAGATGTTTGGACTTTATTATTTCCAATTATGTAAACTGGCATTTGGTCATGAGACTGGGCATATTGAAAAGTGAAGCAAAATACAATTGTATGGTATCGGACTTCTCTGGAGCAAGATTTTTTTTTTCAGAAGACACTGGAAAAATATGTAATTAGCACTCTTTAAGCCAAACAATTTTTAATTAATGTTTATTACCTATTTTCAATATAGGCTAAAGTAGCCCCATTTTCTGTACATCTTTGATCTGCTTGAGCAAATGATGCAAATGTACTTCCAATCATGTAGCAGAATAAATAGTATCTTTTCCAGCCCTCGAAAGAGAAGACAGAGAATGAAACCCAAGTAGCCTTTTTTGCTATAGCTAGGTTGTCCTATACAGCATTGTATAAAGATTTATTTTAACCATTACTTAAACTTGAAGGATGGCAAGCAAAGATTTTATAACACAGTAGTATTATTACAGATACTACAAAAAACTTAAATGCGGCAGAAAACCAGCAACTCTACATTTATCTAATATCTCTTTCTCTCTCTCTCTTTCTCTCTCTCTCTTTCTCTCTCTTTCTCTCACACACACACACAGACATACATACACACACACAAACATTCACACAGACAAACACACACACATCTTCAAAGTTCAAATCTGACACTCTTTCCCTGACTAACAGAGTAACAGACTAAGTCATTTGTCACAAGGAAGGATGATTAATATCTGAGCATTGTTATAACTGACTCATCTGATCTCATGCTCTTTGCTCTGACTTTTCTCCTACTAGTTTCATGGTATGCATTCTATAATCTTTTTTTAAAAAAAAGTGTGGAGGGTCACAATGAAAATACGTTGAGAACTTATGCTTTTGAAGTAAAAGCAATAATCAATTTAGAGGGAGAGGGAGAAAACTCAGACAGAAACAAAAATAATTCTGCTAAATACTTCCTTAAATGAAGTATGATATGAATTTAATGGATGAAAAGACATGTTCTAATTTTCTATTGGGATATCCATATTGTTATGAATATGTTTTTAATAGAGATATTAAAGTCATAAAACATATTACCATGTAAGAGATAATATTTGTACGGCTTCTGCTCTTTTTTTTACCTATTTAAATACAAATCTCCTGTTGAAATATTTTTGAGGACATTCATGTGTGAAAATAGTTTTTAATATTATATAAAATATGGTTGCTCCCCCATTTTAAATTAATTGCCTTTACAATTATGCACCTTTGCACATTTATTAATTTGCTTTAAGGTTATTTGTTTTATAACAATAATATAAGACATATTTTAATATTTTACTATATCACATCCAAAATATAGAAGACGGAATTTTAAAATTCCTTCAAGCAATCTGTGACATGTAAAGATGAATCAATAATCAGATAAAAATTTTAGTTTTGTTCCATTTTCATACTTACTGAACAAATTGTAGAGAACAAAGAAGAGTAACTACTTACCATTTTGATCTCACAAATTTTCTACTTACTTTTGAGCACCCTTCATCAATTATATCCTTTTCTGGTGTTTTTTTTAAAGGTTTCCTTTTGCAAATGTATCCATGTTCCATGTCACAAGGTTCATCTGCCCAATACCCATCCTATGTTGGGCAGAAGGAGAAGAAACTGTTAGAATTCCTCTATCAACGTTGTCTGTCAAATAGGTGATATTGGGACTTTCTCTTCAGGACTGATGGCTTGACATCTCTCTTTGTGGCTCACCAAGCTGAGTTGTTTTCCTAATAGCCCCTTGTCTTTCTTATCCATAAAATCCAAAAACCAATGAGGTAATCTCCACATATTAAACAGATGCATCAGATACAGTAGAAAATATCGAGGGATGTGCTTCTTAGATACTGGGTTATTAGAACAGAATAAAAATGATCAGCTTAAGCCATGCTGTTCTTCTAGACCGAAAGCTGAATGCTTATTGGAAGTCTTTGTCAAAATGTGCCCACTAAATGAGGACTATAACAGAGTAGCCCTCAATTCTGACCTGCAAGGAGAGCCCTCAGTTATCTTTTTATTACAATTTAAGAAAAAAAAGTCTTTTTCTCCTAGTTTAGATTTATTAGTTTAATTTGAATATTTTAAAGTTTCTGTCCTGCAAGGAGGTAGCAACTTTCACACAATTTATTTTTCTTGCTTTTATAGAAATAATATTTTTATTACTGAGGGAATTGAAATTATAGTAACAAATGAAAGAAATAAAACAAAACACAGCTCTTAAAACTGCACTTGTGATGTCAGAAGTGGTGCAGATTATAGATTCCAAAGTTGAATCTCATGCAGTTTTACCCGTTGCTGGTCTCCCAAAGCTTGTTTGTTCTTCTGCAGGTTCTACTGCCTTAAAATAAGACAAATCTATTATCCAATTCAGTATTCTCTTAATGACAAGATAGCTTTTCCAGCCTTACTATAGATATCAGAGAGCAAACCTGGGGCCCTCTATATGCAAACATGAGTTCTAATCTCAGTTAATCTAAAGAAAGGTGGGAAGTAATTATCTAAATAAAATCATTATCTCAAAGGAGAATTATCATTCAACTTAATGAAGTCATGAATGAATTACTACTCATCATGAGCAGCCTACTGATTAGTGCTCTATACAATTAACTAGAGAGTTATTTAAAGTTAATGTGGGAACTAGCATGCAGTAATGCAGATTCTAAAACCTTTTATTTTTTAATGCTGTAGCTCTGCTTTTGTGTTTCTATTATCCATATTCAGCCATTTCTTATCTTCATTATCTCCACACACTTGGTCATTTTGAGGTACTAGCTATGATGATTCACCATGCACAATAGGTTCAATAAGCTTAAAAGATTCTCTCCATTCAACCAGTTGACTACATATAGTTGTTAAGTATAAAGAGGATTCTAACAATATTTATTTAGAATATGATGGAGATGTCAAAATTACGTTTACCTTTCCTTTCATGACCACACAGTCTTCTTGCCTGTTGTTAGTATGTGTTGGCTGGCCTCGGAGCCATTTGGTATATGTCACAGGACTCCCATCTGACCATTCAAAGAACATTTGGATCTTGAGATCATTCAGACCAATCCATAATTCATCACTTGGTTCTAATTCATTGCAGGTAAACAAAAAGTATATTAATATTTCCAACATACATGCCGCAATACATTTTTCTAAATAAACAATCAGCTATTTACATTTTTATCATTTATACTTTACTTTAAATTTTAGTGAATGTTTTAGTGTTTTTGTTTAATATGATTTTAGTACTTTGCAAACTATTTGAGAAGAATGGGTTTAAAAGATAATATCCATGTTTTTTTAAAAAAAATTAAAACAACAATGCATTTTTCCATGATCCATATCAATCATGGATGCTGTCTCCTGCATTCAGGCATCCTGCTGGTTATGGAAGATCATTTGAGTCACTTTCTTCAATCTGGCATATTCCAGATGTGTCAGGATTACAATTCCCAGAACTCTCAAGTGTCCTACAAATAATCTCAAGTATACAGGTTCCTACTACTTCTTTCCTTCCACCTCTGGATTATACACAACAACAGCCACATTATAAGCTCCACTAGGTAGACCAGACCAGGAAATTAATTCCACAAGAAGGTTAAAATTATTCTTATTGAGACAGTCTTGGAAGTCTGATTGTGCTGTAGCCCCTCTTATAGTTCAGTAAATCAGGGATGTCTCTGGCTGAGCCATTTCTGAATGTTGTTCTAAACTTTAAAAAAATATTTCAGATCCTTTTGCCTGCATGACTCCATCAAGGTTACCTTAGTCTCAGCAAGCACTGTCCATTATGAACAATGAGAGAAATAGGTTAGAGCAGGGCTTTCAACCAGTGGTATGGGTACCACCTGTGGTAGATTGGCACCTGGCAGGTGGTACACGACCATCCTAGAAAAGTGGTAGCGGGGGAGGGGAATGAGTTGAACTGGTGGCAGAACCGCACAAGCCTGAGAGAGAGATGGCTGCAGCTGCAGGGTTGTCAGAGCTCAATGAAAGCACCAGGATCAGCGCCAGGCTCCAGCTGGAGCTTGGCGCTGATCCTGGTGCTTCTGCTGAGCCCAGAAGAAGTGCTGATCAGCTGGAATGTTGCAGCATCTCCAGGGTCTTGTGATTTACATTCAGATGCTTGGCAACTGATTCATATTTATGACGGTCACGGTGTCCCAGGGTCATGTGAAGTGACTATAACCTTCTGCAACCACCCAGAAGATGGGGGGGAATAAAAGCCAAACACCCCCCACCCCACCCCCATTGCCAATCCTCAACAGAAATGCTCACAACAATGAAAACCTCAGGAGAAAGAGCATCACCAGGTGGGCAGGCAAGTGTCTTGCTCGGCTATGGCTTGGGGGGGGCACTTTTTCAGTTCCATTGTAACTTCGAACAACCACTAAGCAAACTGTTGTAAGTCGAGGACTACCTGTACTTTATCACTTTTTTTCCTTTTTTTTTTTTGGTTATCAAGTTTTTGACAGTGGTACAATGGGTGAAAAGGTTGAAAAGCCCAGGGTTAGAGGAAAGTTGTAAGGCTGTGTGAAGACATCTCTGCATTTCCCATCCTGCCAATCAGTCCTCATTCCTATGGATCCAGGAGTTTTTGTCTCATAAGTGATACGTAAGGGATGGCTTCAATGAGACCCTTCCTCTACTGAATAGTACTGAAATATGAAGGGACTGCTTTTCAGTAAATAATTTTCTAATGGGATGCCTTGTGCATAATTCTTTTATACTAATCAGTCATTAAACAAGAGGGGATACCTTTAAAATGTCCTACATAGAAGAGTAATCAGCATAATAGGACTCTATGCCAGAATATAACAGGTGTTTCCTTTCCATGGGACTAAAATACTATGACTAAAATGTCCATGTACAAATGATTTCCTCAGACTTGTACAAAATTCAAAAGAGCAGAGCACATTATGCTATTTGGCTTCCTGCTCTTACTGTCAATTTGATTGTTGTCTCATGACAGAGATACTGCTTTTTGAATTCCTGAAATTTTCACATGGTTTTCCTATTTGCTCTCATAACTCTGTCCCTTTGCTTCCTATTACTGACAATGGAGATATGCTGCAAGAAGCAGAATCCTTCTCTCAGGAATATTGTGGCCTATGCAAAAATTCTCATCATTTTCACTTTAACTGAAACAGTTTTCTAGATTTCAAACACATAACAAACATTGCACAAAAATACTAATTTTTCGCAACCCAATATGGTCCACCACAGTTGTGACTTCATATATGGAGAAGTCCCACTGGTTAGATCTCCTGATGGAGACCAAATATGTTTACTATCTAATCATCCCAAGGAACAACATCTTCCAAATTAAAACTTCAGCATCATATTAAATTCTAATCTTGTAGTAGGGAAATCTTAATGTTGTAGCATGTGTTAACTATGGAACTTCAATATTTGTCTGCTGCTTCTTTAGTGTTATTTATTCTGCTTCTACTAGCTATTCAAAAAGCTTCACTGGTTGAGCATCAAATCTCCATTTAACATATAAAGCATCTTTAAGCAAAATCAAATAGTTTAGTTGCCATGAAATATTTAGACCCATTGGCAGTGGTTCTTCAAAAAATCTATGCTACATTTTTTTTTCAATCATTCAATATCTGATCCTTTGAGCTCACATGCAAGAGTTGAACCAGTCACCTTCTATATCCAAAGGATGAATTGTGTTACTGAGTAACAATTCTTCCGTTGTAATTCCCCAAAGATCAATAGCCATTATTTGCCATACTTTCAAGCAAAACCTTCTAATCGTGATGGATGGATGGATTAGATAATGTGCATGTGTTTAATATAACCAATAGTTAATATAACCAATAACTGGTGAAGAATTCTGGACCTGGTGTCACTGTTTTCGGTTATATAACTTCCCATCATTTTGCAAAATTTGGGCCTGCCTGGATTTACCATTTCCATGCAAAGTGGATGCCACAATATGCCACAAATTGAAGTGACAATGCAACAAAAAGCAAGAGTTTATTCAACTGCCAACTGAGAATTCAAACTTTGAATAGTAGTTCCACTTCCTAGAGTTCTCAGACTAGTATCTTATAGGGAAAAAAATCTGTATTTTTTATTCTCCAAGTTCTTCTTCAGTTGGATAAGAAAAAGATGTTTTCAATTTTTCTTTCAAAGGAAAAGAAAGCAGTATGAAATTCTGGGGTGGGAATAATGCTTTTGAACTTATTTTGTTCTACCATTGTGTGTGTGTGTGTGTGTGTGTGTGTGTGTGTGTGTGTGTGTGTCCATGTGGATGTATAGTCTTCCTATTTCCAGCCAGGTCAATTAAGTCCCAAAGGAAAACTTTGCATGGAAATGGTAAATCTAGGCAGGCCCAAATTTTGCAAAATGATGGGAAGTTATATAACCGAAAACAGTGACACCAGGTCCAGAATTCTTCACCAGCTCTAATACTAAATAAAGTTAAACTACCCTAACAAGCACTCTGAGAAAGAAATTGCAAGTTAGATTTCCACCCAGTTTGACTATGGATAGTCCCTCAAAACACAGTTTCTCTGCAGGAATAATGTCATTCCCACATTCATGAACATCTGCAGAATCAGTGGAGGAACACACATACAGAAATTTTTGGAAAATCCTGCAAAAGGGCTGCACTTACAATTAAAATTCTTACTGGCAATATTTTAATCATTTAAAACTGGGCTGTCAAAATAAACCACTGCTGTTACTTTCACCCAAACCAACTATGTTTTTAAAAAGGACTGAACATTCACAGAACCCCATATTGATACTCACTGTACCCAAGCAGAGAAAAAATAAAACTGTACTCTTCCACGTTATGGATGCTCGCCAGGTCACCACCCTCCTTTCTACACAGATTAGAAGCATCTTGCCAGGAAGTAGTTTGTCTGCGAATCTTATAACACTGACCCACATAAAATATCCACCCTTCAGGGCAATCAGCTGGTATTTCAGAATCTGAAAAACACCACAACACCAACAATAATCAAAGCACTGCTTAGTACTAATGCTGTCCTAAGTACTTAGGCAGATATTTGTTAAGCCATTGATTGATTGCATTTATATGGCTTTCCATCTCAACCAAATGACTATGGTACTAATAAAGGAGGATATTTGTAGCTCTGGGTTGAAATGAGGGCCCTTTGGTACTTTCTGAGCTTGATGGTTTTCTTGCAAACATTTCATTACCCAAACTAGGTAACATCATCAGTAAGAAAACCAGCAAGAAAACAACCAAGCTCAAAGAGAACCAAGAACCCTTTAAGTGACTCTCGGCAGCATAAAAGTTAACTACAACTACAACCTTAAAGAAAGTGGAACAAAATACATTAAAAGTCAATGGAAGCCATAAAATGGCAACTAGACTAAAATATACTAGTATTGGTGTGCAATCTCTCAGCCATGCATTTTACCTACAGTATCTTCTTAATTGTCTGAATTACAAACCCATCATTTAATCAATACCAACTTGCTACTGTGGGATTCCTTAGGTTAGAACAGAAGAGGGGTGAGGTGGACATGGATAGAGCCAGAAGTTCTTTTCCTGTTATTTTTGGAAACAATCCAAAAGAATAGAAGTTATACTGAATATATTACTGATTCAACATCACCTTGATCGGAAAGACATGTCATTCTTGTCAAGGACTGGAACTTGTCACACCCAACTTCCCAAAATTAGAGAGTAGAACTTATTTAGTTCCAGCAGCAATATTATACCACTGTTTAACTCCGGTGACCAAATTATTGACATAACTAGGAAATCAGATAACTGGGAATTTCCCAAAGCAAAACACAAGAATGCTGAACTTGGAATTAGGAAGATATAATTTTAAAATGTATGTTAGTACTATCTGAATATCGACTCAAAAAATGGGTACCTTAAAGCAGCTCATGAAATATTTGGAATTTGACAATTTTTATTTATTTATTTATGAGACTTATATACCGCTTTAAGTGCAAGCACTCTCTAAGCGGTGTACACCAGTAAGCAATGTATATATATATTTACATTGCCCCCAACAATCTGGGTCCTCATTTTACCTACCCCGGAAGGATGGAAGGCTGAGTCAACCATGAGCCAGTGAGATTTGAACCGCTGACCTGCTGAACACAGTCAGCTAAAGTGGCCTGCAGTACTGCACTCTAACTGCTACTTAAATCAATGATTTAAGAACTCAGAGATGCCTGGGAGAATACTGAAGTGTTTAGTAAGACCTGGAGTACCAATATGCCAGTAAAGAGATACAGAAAATATAATATTTTGCTGGAACTGGATTCTACTTGTCTTCATTGACTGCACTACAATCATGAAACTGGAGCATCTTTGGCAACATTCACACAACATGCTTCCCTAGATCAAGGAGAGGTAATTGCATTTTTTAAATTTCCTGCTCCTGATTTGCTTCTATTTAAATTGGTAATTATAAGGAACTAGAAAAAAGCCCAGGTTCTCAAAACAATGTTAGCCATAGTGGGATGTGTTTCATTTTTACATATATAGTCTGTGAACTTAAATTCTGTGATTTTCTCACTAGATTAATGTTCAGTCAACCATAGCTAACTGCATAAATAAACTTCATGAAAAAGTTGCTGCATACATGATTTTTACCTTTTTTCTTTTGGTGCGGTTGAGCTTGAAAGAAGGAAACTGTCAACATTCATCTGATTTGCAAATTGCTGTAGCAATCTTGTTTCATTTAAAATTGTTTTAATAAAAATAGTATAAATATTTATTAAAATATAACCTAATGTCCTTTGACTTATGTCTAATCATTTATTATTAATAAGTACATTTCTAAAAAAGAAGTAGCTCAGTATATTAAATGTATATGTGTTTGTGTATATATGTACACACAAACACACACACACAAACACACAAACACACATATGTAAATATCCACTTACAGACACAAACAGACACAAACAGAGAACATATCTATACTGCATTTTAAAACTATTTTGGTCTCGTGTTCATGATTATCTGACACTAAATTGGCTTAAGAACATCATGTCTAAAGTGGAAGACTTTGCCAATAGCTTACATTATATTTAGTCCAGAGAAGCTGCCATATCAACTCATTGGAAATCTTATCATTTCAGTATAGCAAAACCCATAACTTTCCTTCCTATGGAAAGTCTTACTGACCATATATATCTTTACTTATTTCATGCATTTACAGAATTAAATTGAGGCTAGATAAACAAAATGAAAAAAATCAAAATGCATACACAAACAGGCTATCAGCCAACTTTAAAATATACCTAGTCCTCGCTTATGAGCAATAATTGGGACCGACAACTCCATCATTAAGTGAAACATTATGTCACCATGGTGCAGTCATTAAGTGAAACATCATGTCACCATGCCAATTTATGATGTCAATTCCAGCTGCAGTTGTTAAGCAAGTCACTACATGTTATTATGTGTATCATCATTGCTTGTTGATAACTGGCAGGAGATAAGGGTCTTGATAAGAATGGTGTGATCATCATAACTGTGGAATCATAATTTGGGCATTTCAGTTGCCAAGTGCGCAGATTATGATCATGTGAACCATAGACCCACTGCAACAACTGCAAAATTCAAGGTCCTGTCATAAATCACCTTTTTAATGCACTGTAATTGTAGAGATGACCAGGCTGAGCCCAACGGAGGGGGTCAAATGCATAATCAGTCTTGAGTCCTTTCATGCCCACAAGAGATCTAAGTCCAGCCAGCTTGAATTCCATTGATTCTTATCTACTACTTATTTGCCTTGACTATTAGTAGTTCAGATTCTTAGAAAGAGCATAAGCTTGCAAAAAACCTACATTCTTTTGAATGCCTGGATTTCCAGATTTTCCCATGCTTGACAGTAATTCTGAATGGTCGCTGAACAAGTAATTGATAAGAGAGGATTACTTATAAACATTATTGCTGCCCTCTTGAACTCTAATGTCTTCTAAAACTATTTTTACCATTAATGCTAAAGTGACAAAGCAGTGTAATATCTGCCTTTGAAGTAGAAAGTTTCTAATTACAAAACTAAGAGAAATGTATGCAAATCTTAAATTATTTGTAAAATAATTATATAATGATTTTTAATCATTATTTTTATTTATCTGAGCTATTCTGAGCTAATAAATTATTATTTATTTCTCTGGGTAGAGAAATATCTATCTCCAGCATTGCATTGATTCATAGATTTTTAAGTGATTAGAAAAACCATGAACTTGTACAACACTTGACGTTCTTTCTTTTTTTTTTAAGAAAAGCTTAAATTTTCTTAAATTAAGTAAATTTCTTAAATAATACTATATGCTTTTTCCCCCTTTTTTACTTTATTTCTTGACATAAGTAATATAATACTGTTGAAATGGCTTAGATGAAGGAAATGTTTTAGATAATTAACTGTGTTTGAATTTAGGGAAAATATAATGTATAAAAAAAGAAGAAAATGTTTGAAATAAGAGTAAAGGATTAGATGACTAAACACATTCAATGGAATATTTAAAGATTAAATATATTGTTAATTATGGTTAAAAAGAATAAGAAATTTTGGGAATGAATATATATATATATATATATATATATATATATATATATATATATATATTGGAAAATTTGCATAAAAATACGACTCCTGGGCATGTCTATGGTACAAATAAAATACAAACACCAGGAGAGTATAAATATAAAAATATACTTTACTAAAAGCTGCCAAGCTTTCGTTTGGAAACTCCAAACATCATCAGGGCTAAGGAGCCAGTAAACAATGATGACTTAAATGGGTTTTGCCGGCATCTGCACCCGGCTCATGGACCGCGTCACCGGTCCCGGTTAATTAGTGTTCCAGATGTTTCTTTATTACTCTCCTTACGCTTCCTTCTATGGTTCTTCCGGATCATTCCTTCCACTATCTCATTACTGGTATTCATCTCCTCTACCACCCCTTTATCCTTATTTCCTTCCATAGCACTGACCCTCCTCCCCTTTTTGTTTTCATTCTCCACCCTGGGGGCATCTGTTTCTCCTCTATCAGTGTTACAAGCCCAGGGAAGCTTGTAACACTGATAGAGGAGAAACAGATGCCCCCAGGGTAGAGAATGAAAACAAAAAGGGGAGGAGGGTCAGTGCTATGGAAGGAAATAAGGATAAAGGGGTGGTAGAGGAGATGAATACCAGTAATGAGATAGTGGAAGGAATGATCCGGAAGAACCATAGAAGGAAGCGTAAGGAGAGTAATAAAGAAACATCTGGAACACTAATTAACCGGCCGGGACCAGTGACGCGGTCCATGAGCCGGGTGCAGATGCCGGCAAAACCCATTTAAGTCATCATTGTTTACTGGCTCCTTAGCCCTGATGATGTTTGGAGTTTCCAAACGAAAGCTTGGCAGCTTTTAGTAAAGTATATTTTTATATTTATACTCTCCTGGTGTTCGTATTTTATTTGTACCATATATATATATATATATATATATACACATTTCTTTACTCTTGCTCTCTTTTCCTTTTGTTTACTGTTTTTACCTATTCTTTAAGAAATGTAAAAGTATTGAGATGGTTTATATGGAAAAAATGGGTTTAAATCTTTAAATGTAATTAACTGTTGAGAAAATCTTAACCAGCAAGAATACTTTGAACTTTATGGGAGAAACAAATCTAAATAAGGGCCATAACAGGATATAAGATGAGGCAACCAGAATGATTAGATAGAAAAGAAATATTATATTGATGTGATCATTATTTCTAGGAATATTGGGAAAAAATCATATATGTAACTGTTATTTATCAAAATAATAAGAAGTATTAATTCAAGATTTGCAAAGAAGACATTTTGGGGGAAATCAACTATGTGGATTATGGATTATAGAAACCAATTGTTAATTATTTTTCTTTACAAATGTAAACCCAGCAAACACAGTTTACCAACTATTAAGTGATTTATGTTTTTAAAAAATCAGTAAAATATATGGAGTGTGTGTGTGTGTGTGTGTGTGTGTGTGTGTTTAGGAAATACCTGGATCTGTTTTCAGGAAACACCAAGAAGAAATTAGAGTTTTCCTCAATTGGCATGATACATTGGGATAGTTAACAAATATGTTTTTACAAGCCACTGGATTTTTTCTGATCACTAGATCTGATCTTTCTTCTCTAACCGGAAACCCTCTCCTCACATATACCTGCTAGTGATAGTGAACTTCCATGTCTCAGGAGATAGGATCAGTAAGACCAAGGAGATCCTGGTCTCCATGAGCTTTTTTAGGTGATCTCAAATTCAACCTCATAATTAGACATACAACAAATCTTATTTTTGCATCAGAATCTTTGCCTTGCAATCTGGTTAGGGAGGGCATTTCTATCACTTTTTTGCCAGAATTATATTGGTCCTGGTCCAGAGGAGTTTGCCAGCTACCAGCAACCTCTATAAGACAAGAGGTATTCATCTCAACTACTGGTGGCATCTGATGGATCTGAGTGGTTCCCTTAGTTCAGAAACTAAGGGAATTTTCCCAACAATCTGGCAGGCAAATTTATCAGGAACCTGATTGTCCACTGACAATGTGAGGCAATCCAGACTTTTTATATAATTATTCCCAAATGTCCTTTCTCTAATGGCCAGTCCTAGTTTGTTCCTTGGTTTACTGAGGATCTGGAAATGAAGGGGAAGAAGCAATGCATAGAGCCTTGATGGAGGATGACAGAAAGAAAATCTGACCAAGTTTGGATATAGGCTATATTTGGTCCTACAATATGGTAATACCGGCAAGGCTTCTTTTGCTTGTATTTATCTGGTAATATGTAAAAAAAAAAAAAAACTACAGCAGTCCCTATGAGCAGAAGCTGCAAATATCTAAATTCCCCTTTCCTTTGATGTATCCACTGTGATCAGGAGCCAGGAAATGTACTGCGATAAAAATTCCTGCCAATGGAAAAATAGAATAGCCAGAAGTCCACTGCAGAATTGTTGTTATTGTTTTAATTTTAAACTATGATTGAAAATAAATTGCAGAAAAGTCAGAAGTAAATAATCTCTACTCTTGAATGCAGCCACTCATGGGACCACAGATATTCACAGCTGTTTTCTGAATTGGTGCAATATCTTCTTTTGAAACTGCCCTAGATGCAAACTGATGTGTTTAGGAAAACTGGGCTTCCAGAGTCAAAAAATAGAATACAGAAAGTTAATAGAGTCAAGAAAGGGATACAGAGAGTTAATAATGAGGAGCAGAAGGATGGAATAGAAAAGGAAAAAACAAAAAGATGTCTGTGGGATCAGGATGGGAAGGCACTAAGGAACTGTCCAGATGTTTTTCCACAAATAGCAAAGAGCCTGACTTCCTGTTGTCTAATTGTGCAATAGCAAAATACTTCCCTTGGCACCCTGAATTATTAAAGTGAAGAAACAAAGAAAGCTTGAAGGAACAATGACATTTTCACTTCATTTTCATGTTCAGTCTAATCCTAAGGTTAGACATTTGTGGGCTTAGATTTTTTAAAATCTAAATGGATGTCTTTAACATGCCTTGAGAGATTTTACAGTTTCAGGAAAAAAATAATGAAGCAATAGAAACCTGTGTGATGTGGTGGTTAAGAGTCTAGGTTGGTATGAAAGACATCCACCTTCAGCCATGGAAGCTCCTTCAATAGCTAAAGAGCCAGCCAATGTCTATCAGCCCAATCTATTAAACAAGATTTGGAGATGGGCAATTGGAGAAAAGAATTCTTTCTACACCATCCTAAGCTCCTGAAGATAACTTGGGATATAAAGCTCATGAGAAAATAATAAAAATTGATACCATAAGCCTAAATTATACCTATCATACTTTTATATAGGAATTTATTGAAACAATTGCTATCATTTACTAGCACAGATGATATCTCCTAGTTTGGGTAATCAAATCTCTGCAAGAAAACAACCAAGCTCAGAGACCACCAATTGTTATTACTGGAAGTTAGAGGCTTTTGCACATGATATAATTGATTATATATTTCTGAGTTAGCTAGCATTAGTCCCTAAAGCTAGACTTTCCCAGGACTAGAAAATGTAAAGGCTTCCCTTGGTATGAGAGGACTCACAAATGCATTTTAAGAAAACTTGGAACACTATCTTTTTCCATCAGGGCAACACCAGTTTTGTCAATTTATCTACACGTTGCAATTACTAACCTACCTGAAGGAATAATGAAGTTGTTCAGAGAGGCATTTCCTTTTTTACAAATGTAACCAAGTTTTTTATCACATTCCAGGTTTTCCCATTTGGCAGCTCTACCAGGATTTAATGCTCCACAAATCTTCCCAGGCTCTGGGGAAGGGCTTCCTTCAGGAAACAAGTAGAAAGCAAAAAGGGCATTAACTTGCATAATTTTGTAAAACTTTATTGAACCTAATGGAGATGTGGATATGGGCAAGGCTGTGCAACTTGTTCAAAAGATCTTTAGAATGTGCAAGAGCCCATAGAAAGACTGGGCTCATATCTGCACAGCAGCCTGATAATATAGAGTCGCCCTATTATCTTTCAGTGCTTTCTTGCTGTCCCTATCCTGCACCTTTCCTCCTAAGTTGTGTATGTTGGAAAAACAAAGTACAGGCGATGGCATTCCACAGTGTCCAAAACACAAACTTTGTTACTTTTTCTGTGCAAGTTAGGACGGAAGACAAGAATTAAAGCATTCAGAAAGAGTAGATGGAAGGGAGAAATATACCAACTGCTGTGGAAACCATTTTATTTATTTATCCAAATATAATAGGAAATTAGGTGTCATAAGATTTTAATGCAAAAACAAATTACATTTTAAAATGTATATGTTAACATAAGAGAAAATTACCTGGTGCCCAATTTAGATATCTTAAAGGATAGCCACCACTCCATTGCCAACCACTGTTGAAATCCAAACTGTTAAGACCAAACCAGAGTGCAGTATTCAAATTAGAAGTGAACCCTGAAAAAGTATAACATAACAGAATAACAGAACTGGAAGGGACCTTGGAAGTCTTCTAATCCAACCCTTGCTGAGGCAGGAAATCTTATACCATTTCAGACAAATGGCTGTTCAATTTCTTCTTTAAAATTTCCAGTGTTGGAGCATTCACAACTTCTGGATGCAAGTTGTTCCACCAATTAATTATTAATTGTTCTAACTGTCAGGAAATTGCCCATAGTTCTGGTTGCTTCTCTCCTTGATTAGTTTCCATCCATTGCTTCTTATCCTGTCTTCAGGTGCTTTGGAGAATAGCTTGACTCCCTCTTCTTTGTGGCAGCCCCTGAGATATTGGAACACTGCTATCATGTCCCCCCTCATCTTTTTCTTCATTAAACTAGACAAACCCAATTCTAACAACATTTAGCAATGCATCTGTTTCAAGAATATACACTGAATAGCAAGCAGCAACAATTACAATTTATTGGGAGATATAAAGCATATACTTAGTTGCTTCTCATATTTCTTCAACCACAACTCTATAAAACTTGTGCATTGTTTATGGTAGAAGAATACTAAGAGTGCCACCTACCCTGCCAAGTCACTGCACATTCACAGTTCATGATGGCACCACTTCTGAGCAATTGTGAGTCCTGGTTTTCCAGAACCACCAATAACAGGGAAGATAACAATAGACAGATAACAACCCTGGGCATGCCAATGCTTGCTATAGGTAGGATTGGGAATAAAATGTTATGTCATCCTCTTTATTTTAAGTTTGATGTACTATATTGAATATTACAAAATATTAATGGACTTTACCTGTAAGGTACATTTGTTCATGTACTTCTGTAATACCCAACAAATTGGCATCTTGTTGCTGGCAACTTTTACTAGCTTGGAACCAGGTTAGAGCAGCATCTGAGTTTATTTGATACTGGACATTTGCCATAGGGTCTGTAATCCAATAGATGTCTACATCAGCTGTTAAAAGAAAGATATATCCATATTTCACAGTTTTAAAACAATATCATACTAAATATTTCATTAAGACTAAAACCACATTCATAAAATTGCCTTAATAATGGTAATTTAATTTTCACTCAGTATTGTGAGGATTCTTCCTATATTTCAAAACATAATTATTTGGTCAAGCAGCTAAAACAAGCAAAAGACTTTACTACCCAAAGACTAGATGTCTAAGTAATGGCTTATACAGAGAAAAGAGGCAATTTTGCACTAATGTGTGAAACTGGTACATTCCACATATGTAAGTTATCCCTCCAGGCTTAGATGTATTTTTCTCTAGATGTATTAGACTATGGCTTCCATAATTTATTTACTAATTTGTGCCTTTGAGTCAACCTTGCCTCAAGTTCATGTAGTGGGAATATTAACAGAGCTGAAGAGAATTCTGAAAGGCTGCACGAACCATAGGTAGGTGCCACTGAATCACTGTCAACTTCTGATGAAACCTTAAAGAAAGGGTAACACTGTCTGTATTTATGTATTTAATAACAGCTTTTTCTCCATTTAGGTTTAAAACCTAATTTCATTAGAGCATAGCACATTAATTAGATGTGGAAACAAGTTGTAGTTAAGTCACAAAATCTTTTATTTTTACTCTAACTGAGCATAATATAATGAATATGTTCACAGCAGTTCAGATGAACAAATCACTTCTTAGTTTGACAAATGAATCATAGAGCTACAACTTCTGAGTTTTTCTGCTACAGGGCATTTGTCATAGGGGCTAAGATCAAGTAATTAGAAAGAAGAAGAAAGTCTATGGAGATTCTCACTCATCCAGGTCATGGTTGTCTTGTGAGCTTCTCATCCAAGAAGCTTTTTCAGTTCTGAAGAAGAGTCAAAGAAGAACTGAAGAAGCTTCTTGGATGAGAAGTGAAGTGTGTTTAAGGAAAAAACAAAGTCCAGTTGCCTTTTGAAAAAGAGCCTTTGGGAGAAGAAAGCTTATTGCTAATCTATATAAATAAAAATGTAAATGTTCGTTTGTTCAAAATCTTAAATCTCCGAAAGTTCTTCACCAATTGCTTTGAAATTTGACACAATGTTACATTCAAATGCGCGCATGTTTCTATATACCTATATTATATAGATGTCACACCTGTGACAGGTAAAAACATGCTTTTGTGAAAAACAGCACCATCTGTTGGATATAAAAGCAACACACGCTACGATTTCAGACAATCTCTATATCTGCACAGACAATGGAACAACAAAAAATATTGTATACCCACAAGCATTGTGAAATTAAACATATTACAAATGTGCGCTTTCTCTTTTCTTTCTTTTCCATTTAACCAGACTGAGTCACAGCAACGCATGGCCGGGAACAGCTAGTTCACTAATAAATAAGCCTTCTGCAGAACAATATCTCCATTACATTAATATTAACCATAAAAAGAAGAGGCAGCAATGAAATGTTTTCAAATGAAAGTTCTTCAGTTATAAAATTCAGGAAGGAGATCAGAGTTATCTGTCATGCTTCCTGTACGCTAGACATTTTGCAAGAACATACAGGACAAAAGACAATGTGCAAAACAAATGTGTCAAAAGAGCAGGATGCAGTTCCACTTTTTCCTGAATTAGCCTTCTCCATCTAAACAATGCTATAGTTGTTGCTTATCATACAACCCAAATACATACTAGTAATGAGTTATATAGTATGCTATATAGTATGCTTATAATAAATGTTCTGCCCTTAATTGATGGTTTACAATGTAGTGTCTAATCATATCGCATATAAATTACATACATATTACATTAACCACACTGACTCCATAATACTGTTTGAATCATTACAACATACTTGATGTAGCCCTGATCTAGAATACATCCAGGAGCATCAAATGGTCCACAATGCAGTAAAGTGAGTAATTATGTCTGTATAACTCCACTCTGTGAATTGAAATAGCTCACTGAGCTTCTGGATACAACTCCAAGATATTGGAGTTGGTTATCAGCTATAAAGGCCTATATTGTTTTGTATGGGCATCTGTGTGTGTGTGCCTGTGTGTATGTGTGTGTATAGACATGCATGCTTTTGAGTTATTATTGACTCGTGATGACTGATTGGACAGGTCCCCTGCAAACATGAGACTGGAACTCACTTTCTGCTGCTTCCTTGTCTTGTACCTTAGCTACTACACTAAACTGGTCCTTTCCCAGTATATTGCTTAGAAGAGAGCTAATTGTGAAATTTCCTGCTCCCAAATGTATTTGACAGTCCCACATGCTCCAACAGAATTAACACCTGGTTCCCTTACTCAAGTAATGCCGGCTTATGGATCTTAGAAGTATGCTTTCTTAGTAGCACTTTGTTTTGTTTTGTTTTTAACAATCTTCATCCATCTTCACAATTGTTCCCAACCCATTCAGAAAGACAGTCAAGACCTAGTATTTTCCCCAGGGCTCAGGCTCTGGATGAGTAAATTTACCAGTTGGATAAGCTATATGCTATACTGAATTCTGATAACTCTTTACTGCTTTAGTTGCTGTTTAATTGTATGTGTTATTTTCTATGTATTTGGTATGTGGTGATTTTTGTTTACCACCCTCTCTACACACTCTGTATGTATTCTCTTACTAAACAAACAAATATTAGTTTTCTTTTTTTAAGTATTTCCTCTATAAAACAGTGTTACATAGTTACCTCACATCTTGATTATTGCAAAGTGCTCTACATCAAGCTGCTCATGAAAAGGATCCAGAAGCTCCATTTGATCCAAAATGCAGCAGCCTGCATGGTTTTGTGCAGGCCTAGGTAAATATATGTGCCACATCTCCTGCAGAGCTGCATTGCCTGCCAATTTGCTTCTGGGTACAGTTCATGGTGCTGGTTAAAGCCCTTCATGGCTTGGGACCAGATTATCTAAAGGACCTTCTCTCCCCGGTTACATTTATCCAACCCACCAGAGTGGGAAGGCAGGGAAAGTTACAGGTCACCTCTCCTAAGGAGGTACATTTGGTGGGATTCAGCAGAAGGACTTTCTCTGTGGTGGCTCTGCTCCTTTGGAACATCATCCCCGCAAAGATTAGACTGGCCTCCACTTTGATAATATTTTGCCAACTGGCTTGGGGAACCCAAAGTGGGATAGATCCTGTCAATTGGCTTGTTTGACTGATTGCTGTCACAAGATGAGGTGAGGTGATATTTTATTTTATTTTAAGGTTATATATTGGGTTTTTAATTTTTGTAAGCTACACAGAGTCACTGAGCACAGTGGTTGGCCATATAAATGTTCTAAATAAATAAAATAAATAAGGACAAGAAGCAACAGATGGAAATTAATCAAGGAGAGAAGCAACCTAGAACTAAGGAGAAACTTCCTGACAGTTAGAACAATTAACCAGTGGAACAACCTGCCTCCAGAAGCGGTGAATGCTCCAACACTGGAAGTTTTTAAGAAGAGACTGGACAGCCATTTATCCAAAATGGTATAGGGTTTCCTGCCTGAGCAGGGGTTGGACTAGATGATCTCCATGGTCCTTTCCAATTTTATTATTATTACTATTATTATAAATAAAAACAGTGAAAGTCAGGTAAGAGAAGTGATGGCCATTAATCTAATAATTTTGGCTGTAGGAGAACTCCCTATTTCCTTCACATTACTATCATTTATATATATATAATAGTAATGTGAAGGAAATAGGGAGTTCTCTATATATGATGCAGATTATGGGAGTATGTGATAGACAAAACCTAAGCTGTAGGCCTCACATGAAAGCCCCAACGATGTTACATGCATTATGACATCTTCATACTAATTATGTCATGTGCATCATTTGTATAATGACAACATAGCACATGCAACATCACTTGCTCCGCTCCCACTCTTATAAACAATAGGCTGAGTAGAGATCTTAGTAAATTCCTCTGAAGATATATTGCATATAGGAATAAATCACTAGTATAAACAGTTTTGTGCGTGATAATAATATACTCAAGAAAGATGAAGTTTAATTCATTTTTAATTGACAGAGCAGAGTATCTTTTGAACTTAGTATGATGATGTAAAAAATAATAAAACATGAAAAAAATATCTTTATCAACCATGGGTGGTACTTTTGTTTGCACTTTATATTAAACAATTAAAAATCCCTATAACTTTTCAATTAGTTAAAACTTTTAACAGAAACATAGTACCATAATAACACTTCAGGATCCAAACTTTTCCTGAAAAATCCTTACCTTTCACAGGACAAAATCCATATTTCTTGTCTTTATTATAATTCCTTGTAGTTGAACACCATAGCAAACCATCAGTCCTTCCTTCAATTGTACATGTTGCATACCACTTGGTAGTAAATTGAAAAGGGAATACACAAGGAGCCCCATTGCTGTTACCTTTTAAGGTAAATAAGTCTGGAATGAAGGGAAGAAGAAACAATTAAATATAATTTACATATTTGTAAGAAATGCTCCATCCTAGAGAGAAGGAAAAAGAAAAGTCTTCTTCAAAGCTAATGGCGGGGTTTCCAAATTGAAGTATATCTCTACTTTCTGCATACACGATTGTGTACAGAAATGGAAGTTAGCAAAAATAGTATGATATCGTTTTTTTGGATCTGCGTGACAGTACGAAGAACTCCACTATTTGATACAGAGAGCCAGTTCTGTGTAGTGGTTAAGGCAGCAGGCTAGAAACCAGGAGACTGTTAAGTTGTAGTCCAGCCTTAGACACAAAATCAGCTCGGTGACCTGGAGCCAGTCACTCTCTCTCTCAAGCATAGAAAGCAGAAAATAAAATATTGCCAAGAAAACTGCAGGGACATATCAAGACAGTTACTAGGATTCCATACTGACACAATGACACAGACTGCATACACAAACATGCAGGCACACACACACACAGCAAAAACAATTTGGCATGCATGGAATTGCCAAATTTCAGTGTGATTCTATAATAGATCTCTCAGCATTACTCCACTGTTTTCTGCCTACTCACCTTACAACCGTCTTCTACTTTACCAATTTCATGAAATTGAAAGGAAAAGATTGAACATTAAATGTAAAAGATATTTTGGTGGAACATTGAAGTGTATTATTCAATTTTAATTCTGCATATGACTTAAATGAAAAAATGAGGAATCAGAAGCCCTGAACAAATATCTTTGGTCAGGTGCAAATGAAAGTGCATAAGAGAACATTTGATTATAAACAGCTTATTTAGAGTATGAACTAAACAAAAAAAAGTTCAAGTCTTCTTTTGCTTCAGTATTAAATATTTACTATAGTAGAGGCAAATATGCTAAAATGATCAATGAAAATATTGATTTCAAGGTTTAACCTTTAAAAGATGAAATCTTTTGAAACTACTTCATTTGAAATGTCAGAAATTTTAACATCTTCCAGTAAGTACTGTAGTGTAATTTGAAATGAACTACAAAAACTGGGTGGAATATCTGAGATTTGACCAACTTTGAAAAGCTTATAACACCAAATTTAGAACATTTGTTGTGTGTGTTTGTGTGTGTTATGTGTATGCACAACATCTTACAGAAATATGTTTCAGAGACTGAACAACTCAAACAAATGCATAATTTAAATGGACAATTTATAAGCAGCTTCAATGGGGTAAATGTATTTGCTGTTAATATTACACTCAAATTGCTTTTCCCTCCTTTGGAATATTACTCCATAGTTGATTGCTAATGTATAATATATATTGAAAATAACTGTTGGAAATATAAAAATTAGTTTTGGATCATTATGGTGGCAATGCCAGAAAACTGGGCAGCTCTGCAAAATGATTAATTTTAAAATAAAACAAATTTTAAAATGACTTTCATTTTCTGTCCATTTTTTTTCTGTGACGTCAGATCTCATATTCCTATGAAGTATACTGAGCTGACTTTATATCAGAGCATCACTGAGATAACTATAATAATAATAATTTTTATTTTAGAGTCACAAACCAAAATGCAAGTGCAACAAAAGAAAACACAAGAAAAATACAATCACAAACAGTTAACACCAGAAGCCTTGGCTAAAGGGAATTACAACGTTCTCCTCTAATAGTTAGAGCTCTTAAAAGAAATTTAGAAACCTGAGAAATAATATAGGAGGAGTCATCCCCTAGACAATATAAGACCAAATTATTAACATTAGAACCAGAGGGATAAGTTCTAAGGAGAGACAGTAATTTAATTCTGGCTGTGTTATACATAGGGCAGTATGATAAGACATGCTCCATAGTTTCAACTTCAGCCCTATCACAGGGGCATAATCGCTCACTAAACAGGAGCCTCTTGAATCGCCCGTCGAGTAGTGCTGAGGACAAAATATTGAAACGGGCTAGGAAAAGACTTTTCTATACTTGTGGATGGTTAGAGTATACAAATATGAAGCCATCCTCAATCCATAATTATTAGACTGGCTGAAGATCAAAGGGGAGCAGGTTTTGTTGGCTCTGGATCTTAAATATTGCAAATCTATGTCCACTGGGTGTCCTTGAGACCATAATCTCCCAGAGCATCCCCCGTAAAACCTAGCAAGTGGAGTTTCTTCGTCAGCTCCCTCTTCCAACTAGAAGTATGAGAGTCAGCAAACACCAGGGAAAGGTAGCTACCAGGGACTGCCGAAAAGAGCACCCAAAACCACCATTTAAAGGTGTTAATCCACGCCTTGCATTCGACTGAACGAATGCCCAGTTCCAGGTACATCGAAGCAAATCCAACACAAGGAGGAAGACCTAGAAGTTTCCTAAGAAAAACAGCCTGGGTTCTTTCAATACAATCCTTGAAGCCTCGTATCCATATAGGAGTTCCATAAAGAGTTTGGGCCAGGGTCTTGGCTTTATATATACGCAGAGCAGAAGGAATAAACTGGCCCCCTTGGGTAAAAAAGAATCTTATAATCTGCTGGTGGCTACAGGAGGCCGAATTCAGCACTTGGGTTCGATGTTTAGTCCAAGCAACAGTATTCTGAAATTGAATATCTAAATACTTAAAATGGAAAACCTGCCTAACAACATTACCATTGATAGCCAGTTGTATGATTTCCGGGCTCTAGAGAACACCAATACTTTGGATTTGTCATAATTAATAGATAAATGGTTCTCAGCACAGTTGGACCCAAATGCAAAAAGTAATCTTTTTAGACTTAGCCTTGAATGTGATAGAAGGACCGCATCGTCAGCATAAAGAAGAAGCAAAATCTTCGTATTTGACAACTTTGGGGTGTGGGACTCAATGCGTACAATGTAAGAGGCCAGGTCGGGTAAGAATAAATTAAACAGAAGAGGGGCCAGGACACAGCCCTGCCTAACTCCGCTCTCAATCAGGATAGGATTTGAAAGTTCTCCTTGCAAGTCACACCTAACCTGGCTAGAGGTCTGATTATACAAAGATCTGATTAAGAACAAAAGACGTCTGTCAATAGAACTTTTGTGCAATTTTGACCACAACAGTTCCCTAGGGACTGAGTCAAACGCTGCCTTTAAATCGATAAAAGCAGTGAAGAGTTTGCCACCTGGTGTAATAGCATATATGTTAACCAGGTGTGATAAGACAAAACAGTGGTCCAATGTGGCACAGCCCGCTTTAAACCCAATCTGCTCTGCACCAATAATGTTAAACTCCTCAACCCAAATGAGGAGTCTATGTTGAAGATATTTAGCATACAATTTCCCAATGATGGAAAGCAGGCTTATAGGGAGATAATCGGCAGGGTTGTTCCTGTTTCCTCGTTTAATACTGGAATAATAATTGCTAGACTCCAAGAAATAGAATCCTACCAGAGGAATTAACATGGGTGAAAAGTGTTGCCAAAGGTGGAATCCACCACTCGGGATTAGATTTTAGCAAAATGGGGGGTATAGAATCAAGGCCAGGGGCTTTGCCTGACTTAAGTTCTGAGATAAGCTCAGCAATTTCAGCATGAATCACGGGTTGCCATATAGGAATTGCAAGAGGCAGTTATGATCCAAGCTCGGTCGAAATTATTGAAATCTGAAAAATTGACAAAAAATGATTTTCCTAATCTCTGTTAGAAATACAGCAGAGAGGGAGTTATTGGTAACCAGGGAGAGAGCTGGCAACAATTTGCCAAAATAGTCGGGTGTTCTTCTGCTGGATAGAGAGGAGAAGTAAATCCCATTTCTCTCTCACTTTAGCCCTCTTTTTCTTAACAATTAGCCCTTTATACTCCGCTTCAGGCGATAATAGTTCTCTGGTGGGCGTTTGTCCCTCGGTTACGGTAAAGCAAGTAAGCCCGGTTAATCTGGTTCCTAAGCATCAGACATTTTTTATCAAACCAGGAATTGCTTCTTAAGTGATATGGACCCCTTGGCCTACAATCAGCTCCTAGCTCCCTTTGAACATTATTAATTAGTGATTCAAAGGCCAAGATTGTCTCTGAGCCACTACTTGTTAGAACCTGATTATAAAGGCTGAGACATTCCAGAGATGATAAAAAGGAGTGGAACTTTCTTTCGGTATTAGAAGACCATTTGATCCTCTTTGTATAGAAGGCCATATGGGGATCCAATATCTGGGGGTCTTTAGATAGTGTATGTTTGAGGAAAGCCCAATAATTGTAACCAGGGGGTAATAATCGCTCTCTGTGCAGCAGTCCACATAGAAAGCATGGACTGCCTTTCTTAATAACTGAGAAACCAGCACAAAATCAATAATGCTACTCCCACGTGAGGAACTAAAAGTAAACTTACCAACTAGATGAGGTAACTATGCTTTTCCATGAAAATTACATCTCATCCTTTCACTGGAAGTCTGTCAGAGTAAACTTTGAGATATACATCTATCTTACAAATACTTTTGTACCTAAAAATAAGTCTGATACTAACTTTAATTTAATCTAGAATCTCTTTAAGTATAATTCTGCCTTGACACAACCAAAATTTGTGTTTCTTTCAATGTGAAGTTTAGTCCAACTGGCCAATATGTTATGGATGTATTGCTTCATATTAGTTAAAAATAATACATTCATTCTAATTATTTTGCCAGTTAATTGTTATTACTTTGATATTTTTGTCAACTTCTAATGTGATTCTAATATTAGTTGGTTAAGAGTTCAAAGGGCATGAGATTTTATATGTTCTAATCTAATGTGATTTGTAAGAATAACTGTGGATTTCTTTTTTTCTTTTAAAGTTGAAATTTTTAAAGGAATTTTAATATTTTGTATATTTTTAATGTATTTTTATTTTTTGTCTTTTAGAAAACATAATGGATAGATAGATAGATAGATAGATAGATAGATAGATAGATAGATAGATAGATAGATAGATAGATAGATAGATAGATTAATTTTTGTTTGATGTGCCTCTATCTTTACTTTCTTTCTTTTTTTACCACATTCTCTGGACCTCATTGGATTTAAGAGGGAGCAAGCAAGCAAGCATGCACAGTTTACCTTCATAGCCTCGAGAGCATAAATCATCTTTAGTTCCATGGACTTTCCATCTACTCCACAAGCCTGATCCTTTGTAGAGCATAATTCTTTTTTCATTTTTGTTGCCGTAGTTGAAATACAGGTTTACCTCATGAATGGCAAAAAGTGTGTCATTTCTGCACTCCCATTTCTGGAGACTATTTGTTGAATTGCATGGGTAGAGTTCAACTGGTGTCCAGTCAATTTTTGAAGCTACTCCCAAACATAATTTCTCAGAAACACTCATCAACTGGTACCTGGAAATCCACTTGAATTTCTGTGCCTTGTCTTCATAACTACAAGCAGCCGTTGTAACATAGGTGGCCGCCTGAACATATACACAGACTTTATGGTCTTCATTATATATTAGAAATGTACTTGTATCTATAGGTATAAAAATAAGTTAAAGCATAAATAAAGCAAACACTTGCCATAGAATTGGTTAAAAACAATTAGTTGTGCATATCACTGAATTAAATATATGTCTTCCAGATTAGAAGACTGAATATACAACTCCTAAATAGACAACTTCTAAAAGGAAGGATTAACACATTGAATTTGAGCATGCTAAACTTTCACAGGATTGATGGATTTAAATAAAATTAAAGAGTATAATCACTATTGACAGCTAAATTTCTGATCACTGTTTTGCAAATTGTAATAAACCATAATAAATTTCTTCTGGTGAGATTATAATACCTATCTGTTTTTCTACAGACCATAATATACAAATGTGTTATTCCTACCTGGAAATTTAAAATACTATTTTTATTTTATTATTAAAATAAATAATAATTAAATTTGTTTAAATAATAAATAATATAATAAAATAATAATACATTTTATTATTATTGAACTCCAGAAATATGGATAGCTAGTAGATGGTTGCAAGAGATTTTGGGTTGCTTTGATTTTATTGCCAGATAAAGTAAAGCCAGTTTTTATTGTCTATATTTATCATGTAAGTAATTCCTAAATCAACTGCACTACATTATACATTATACTTTCTTCCTGAAAGACAATAAACAGCTTTTCTGCAGAGTTATGATCTAGAAATTTTTTCTGTCTCAGTTAAAAGTTTGGCCTAGAGTTATCTCATCCATAAACCAATTTCCGCCCCTTGTTCTGTTTGGCTTAAGCCATTAGGAAACAGAATACAGCTGATGAGAACAAACTCTTGCTGTTTGACAGTTGGTTTTTTCTTACTGACAATACCAGGAAATATTTCATTATCACCAATAGTGATAAAGCTTACTATTGCATTGTTCTAGCAATACTCAATTTAGTTAGGCAAACTAATATTGTATATGCAGTGTTTGCAAAATGTCCTGTAAGGGGAGGGTCCACTTTTATAGATCATTCTTCTATACTGGTCTATGACCATAAAAAATATTGGTTTGAAGCTAAAAGAAGGGGAGAATTTCACGAATTCTGCCTTGAACTTCCAGAAGAAAGGCAGGATGCAAATGTGATGGTGAAGATTGTAGTAATGACCCAGACAGTGACATGATAATAATTATGGTAATGCATGTGTGAAAGAGATACTTCAAAATGCACAAGGACATCTTTTCAGGATGTCTTGTAAGAAACATATCTTTTTTTTAGGCTTTGGCAAGTGTCTGAAAAAAGACATAGCTATTTTAAAGAAGTCTTGTGCTTAAACTCACACTCAGACACAATCTGAAATATCTCTTCCAACTAATAAAAATATCTATAATGATAAGAATAACCATAATACAAACATTATATACAGGACACTGTGCATTTTGCTCCTCCTTTCAATTCCATGGAATTATAATTAAGAAGTTGAGAAGGTACTATATTCTTTTTTAAGATTTACTGAAAATCAAACCTACTTTTATTAATTACAGAAATATGAGTCTGTGTACTCATCCTTGTTTCCAAATGTTATATTTCTGCTGCAAGATTTATCTGGCATGTTGTACTCTATAGTAGCCAAGTTTTGCTGGTTCTGTCCATAATCCAAACATTATATACAGGATACCAGCAGACAGTGAAAAAACTATCCCCAGGAAAAAGTTATAGAACAGCTGTGAAAATAGGTCCTCCCTTCCTTTCTCCAAAGGCAGGAAAACTATAGATTGTCTTCAAGGCTATACTATACAAAAAAAAAAAAAAAACCCAGTGTTTAATGTTCAAACCAATTATGAACTCCACAACAAAATAGAATATAATCATCTCAGCTTGTTCTTTGGGATATTCATGAGTTCTGCATAGGCAAGCAGACTTCTGCATAGAAGATACCAGTTGAGATCCCATGCAGAAGATTTCACAGAAAACATGAGATCAAAGTAAGCAATGTATTTTTTTTATTCCTCCTTCTATTGATTGAACCAGCTTTGCATACCAGGATTAACTAAGACTGCTAATCATGAGGATAATGGCATATTACTTTTATTTACAGAAATATATGCTTGGAAACACAAGCAAGACAATCCTTCAGTTCTACTTTGGAAATTCTCATAGGCATTTTCATGGCTCTCATGGGCTAGATGAGTCTCTGGACAAATCCAGCATTTTTGGATGCATAGAATACAACATGCCAGATACATCTTGCAGCAGAAATATAACATTTGGAAACAAGGATGAACACTTCTGTATTTAATAAAAGTGGGTTTGATTTTCACTAAAATCTTAAAATAATATAGTATATTCTCAACTTTTTAATTATGATTCTATGGAGGTGAAAGGAAGAGCAAAATGGTTTTCAAACATTTAGCTAATGCATTAAACAAAATATAAGGTATCTTTGCATTACCCCAATTTCTGAAAATGTTAAAAGCTTTCCTTTGTAATCATGTACAAAGTAGTCATTTAAATAATATTATAAATCAGTATTTCCCAATGACTTCAAATGAGATTATCCAAAAAAAAATAGTCATGAGGTTGTAGTTTTAAAGTAGTAGGAGCTAATTTTATAAGAGAGAACTATTTTTGCCTTTAGAGTTAGAAACATTAAAGTTACTACTTCTTTAAAAACTTATTCAACCCATGTAAAACTGCAACAGAATGGCTAACTAGGAGTGAAATGTTCATTTTTTCTTGATACAAATCCATATTTCATGCAACATGAGTTTATTGCATTTCATGTAACATGTGTTTATTATCATACCCGCCTATTCTCCAGTCTTCAATGACTGTATTAGTGGTGATGGGGAAGGGAGTTTTTTATTTAATCTCCAGACAGCCAAATGAAGATTTAGCAGATGAAGCCCTGTGTAATGGAAACCTCACCTGAGTTATTTAAACCGACCCTCTTCCCAACCTATTACTACCATTAGGGTTAAATCATTGCATATCAATTTGAAATATATATTCTCCTATGTGGGTGTGGGGGAAACTATTTTTCCCTATATAGGAGAAATCCTATGCTGTTTCATATGAATACGCCGTTCATGGCAAAGATTTGAGAGCCACTTACCCACAAGCGAAACTGTGCTATGAAGAGCAGAAAGAAAAAAGAGAAGCAAAGAGATGATCATTGCTAGCTAGTCTCCACTCTCTTCCTTTCAACCAGGATATGTCATATCATGAGCTCCTTTTGTAGTCCATCTTATTAAATCCAGCCAAGAGAAGAGATGGGCACATTTCTGAGAACTGATAGTTCTGTGGGTACATTCTGGGGCTCAAATGATAAGGAAATGTGCTTCCGCATTGACCATTTTGGAATAACAGGAATCTGCTATTCAAACTTTGCTTCCATAAGCTAATTTCACTGCTGATGGGAGGGAGTTGGGAGTTTCCATAGAATCACAGGTGATAAAGCAATGATTGTTCAGCATTTTTTTTCCCTCTGGGATTCTGAAATCAAACTAGAGGCCATGATTCACCCTAGGAAGAGGGCAAGATTTTCACCATTCTTATGGAAAGAGATGAGTTAAGGACACACTGTTTCCACCAAGAAATTTATTTTGGAAAACTGATTTTAAAAAAGAAAAAGGCTGTTTTTGCCTTTTAGGGAAAATAGTCTGGAATATTAAGTATGATTGATCCCGTAGGCATCTAGATGAAGGCTGCAAGTTTTTATTAATCCACTTGGTGTAAATCTTAATAAAGTGATTAAATCTAGCTAGTGTTTGAATAGAATATTATCAGGGAATCCCAAGGCTGAAGCTAGACTGTAAAATCAAATATCATCATACCAGAGTGCCACTGCCAGAAAATAATGTCACTGAATCCATGTAATTTCTAAGATGTTTAATTTGACTACTTAAAGTCTGATTGGACAAAGGTTATCCTGCTGCCTTTGGGACTAAGGTTGGACTAGAACTCACAGTTTCTTGGTTTTTAGCCTGATTACCTTAGCCACTACACCAAACTTTTTATCTTTATCTTTACCTTTAACTATTTATCATTGTTCAATTTGAGGCAACTTGTCCAAAGACAAGTAATTCTCACACAATGTCTTTTCAATGCAAGAATTTGAAGTCTTTTGGAAGTCTAATACACATTGTCTAAATACACAAATTAACATATTTCACTTCTCAGTGAAAACTAGGAAAACACAAGCACTTTTTTGTGCAACTAATTATCAAATTTCAGCGGAATGTTTTATTGTATGAAAACTGGGACCTTAAAAATGTTTAGTTTAGACTTTAAATAAAGATTGACAATTTACAATCCCAAAAGCTACATGAAGCCTTGAAATCTTTATTCTTTTCCTAAAATTCTTTTTGACTTCAGTTCAGTGAAAAGTGTTAATGTAGTTTCCTATCAGTATAAAACAAAACTGGAGTGTAAAAATAAATAAAAAGTCAAATCCCTTTTCCCCTGCAAAAAAAGAAGAAGAAACAAGGGAAATTCCTGCTCAGTGTGTGCTTCACAGGCTGACACTACTTCTGTCCTAATGATAGAAGGCACATATGTGTGATGACATAACAACATAGCAAATGGGTGGACCTTGCATCAGTCCAAAGGAGCCTCTCCTGGTTTTGGGGGATAACACAGCCCAAATATGGCACCATAAATTTGCCTCTGTCCAGTATGATGCCTTTTCTCCCATACACACATTCACACACAATTCAGTATGCCTCCAGTCCATCAAAAATTTACTACCCCTGCTTGCAAAGAATATGCCCTCTTCTGTTAGCCCTGCTCCTGACTTTCCCCATCATTGATGACATTTCCAGCTCCATACTATTTGAGAGACCAAGGTTGTATAGACAGCAGAGGGAATGGCCTTGAGGGACAAAAAGAGAAGCCACTGCAGAGGTGTCAAATAAAAGCAACCTGCATCTAGGAAAGAGCTGTCTCAGAGAGAGATGTCTCAGATAAGATCCTCCCTTCTTCTCAGGAAGATAAAAGGAGAGAATAGGAAAGCACATTCAGGTGTGCAAGATTTGGTTACTATAACTTTATGTTAAAAGTAATATAGGTTTATGTGATTTTGACTTCCTTGTCTGGTGTCTACAGCAATCCAATTCACCTCTATCACTTTTTTTATTCAAAAGCGTCATAAAAAAGAAGCAACAACCACAAAATCTTTCTAGTTTGATGAGTCTTTACATTTTTCTATTATTGGAATCTGCCAGGTGATTGGTGGGTTGATATTAAATCTTCCTCCACTACAGAGAGCAATGTTTTTCTGTGAATGTCTATAATTCTGCATTAGACAACCTGGATTTTGTGGAATGAACTTGTGACCAAGGATAGAAGTGCTGAAAAATAAGTAATTTCGAATTTTCAGGTTCTCAGTTCTCCCTTTTCTTTTGTTGCTGCCTGTGAAGCAAATATACAGTATACTGTGTGACAGGAACTATTGTAAACCTCATGATTTCCTTTGTCAAAAACAATGTCCTTAAGGACAATAACAAAAAATACTCTTTATTAGAAGTTCCTACTAGTCATTTCCGTTAGCTATAACACTCAAATATTGAAGTTTTCTAAAGAACTTTAATCATTCTGAATCTCATATCATGACTTTATTATTACCCCCATGCATTGAAAATGTTTGCTATTCTTTAATAATATTGAAGATACTTCCTTAATGGTAGACCTTGAATTAAGAACTGATCAAAAAATTAACATGGAGTGTTAAAGCTCTTATCTACTATTCCTAATCATCATGTAACTTGCATTCAAGTTAGGAATATTTTAAACAATTTAGTCCAATAATATTTGCATTTCTTTTATGGTAGTTTAATTCCTCCACAATGTATTCATAAGCAGAATCAGAATAAGTGGAATCACTATGGTATGATTTAAATGATTTAAATCATCCTGATTTTTAAGTGTATTGTAGCCATCATTTTGACTTTTTTGACCACACCTGTCGATATAACTGTTTCAATACAATTGTTGGATTGCAAAACAATTAAATATGTAAGTTATTAATTTTGGATTACCATGGTATTTAATTGATGGTTTAATTGATTATTTTAATCAATTAACCAACTAAAAGGATGTCATATATAATAGCAGTTTTATTTCTAACACACAAAACTAGAAGAAATATTAGGCAATGGGAAGATCATTTTGACTGTAAAATCAAGAACATTCGTATTAGTAGGAACATATTGATTGTATGTGTCTGTGTCTGTGTCTGCATCTGTGTGTCTCTCTCTGTGTGTATAGGGACTGTATATACACAGACACACCAAAGAAGCATATTTGGCCTTTAAGTTGTGCACTGGAGGTCCTACTTAAAAAATAATAACAAATGGAGCCAGAATAAAGAAGCATCCAGTTGCAGCATTAAATTAGATGTAATTTAAACTTAATTATGTAGTTCTTTCCCTTCATTAATATATCTTTCTCTTTACATATATTAAACATTAAAATTTGGTGACAACATTTATGGTGTTCTAATGACTGCAGATCAAGCATGGGGTTGCACACGAAGTCTGGAGCTTAAGCTTGTCCACCTCTTTTATATAGAAAGAAATCAAAAAAGGAAATGTAAGATATGAAATCACCATGCCATTGTATTTCAATCATTTGGATGGTCAAGTGCTATATAGTAGCTATAATCAGATCCCAGATGAAGAAAGAATTTATCCCAGAGGAAGCATCCAGGAAGGCAAGTGGTAGATATAACCATGTGATCATCTAGTGGCGGTCACTATCTTGATATTTTTATATGTCCAAGAGACAACCTACTCTGGTATCCATAGATTTTTCCTTTTGAAGCTCTTATGCATTTTTCTTCTTTCCTTCTCCTATTTCTTTTTATTTTCATTCTTTAAATATCTTTAAAAATAATATTTTGAAAATGAAAAGAAATAGGAAGAATGAATATCCAGTCTATATCAGAATCCTTGGATGGAAATGGGTAAAATTTAGTACTTTGCTCTGCACTGTAGTTCTTATCTAAATGTGAACTATTGGTGTAGGATTAAAGACTTCCAAACCTGGTATAGTGAGTATTCTGTTGAGGAAAACAAGAAGTGGGAAAGAGCCTATCAGGATTTTATCCATAAATCCCAAGAAAGGATTTCAATTGAAATCCGCACAATGTGATAATCAAGGAATCTTGGCTGATCTTGAAATACTAAGCTGGTTCAAGTGCTGATCCACACTTGGATGAGAAGTCACTAAAAAAAGCTAAGGCTGTAAAGTGGATTGCGATATTGAAAAAACGTGCTGGGAGGAAGAAATGTCAAACCATTTTTTTGCATTGCATCCCCAATCACCACCCAAAAGCTCTTACAAGACAACATCTGCAATTTCACCATCTGCAATTTCACCAGCAAAACTTTTTTTACATCTTCTTGTTTGTGATTTAATATATTAAAAACTCATGATTCCCAAAAAGAAAAAAAATGGCATCTTGTTAGTTTACTGGTCATTTTTCCCATAACAGATAATCACATCTAGTTAGGAAGTACATGAGTATATTCATTGCCGTAATAAATGTTCTAGTTTATTAATCTAATTCTTTTTAAGGGAAATTATCTTGGCAAGCAATGTATCCTCTTCTGAAAAAGCAGTATGTTCATTAAACATAATTTTTGCTGGGTAAACAGTAACCTTCGGAGACCTGGATAGTGAAATCTGTTTCCTTGCTGAAATCAATTGTGCAATGAGGTTGCTTTAATTGCAGGCGTGGGCCAAGCCTCTGTGGCATATTGTGAAACAAGGAAGATGGTTTCCTTCTTTGTAAGAGCAGCAAGTGAATGCTACTGTTCTTATAGTTCTTATAGTTCTCCTGAGTCACTGATCTACATTTAACATGTAAGCAAGCTGAGTTTTGGAAAAGCAGGGAGGGTTTTTTAAAAAAAAGAAAGAATCTGGCTTTTTATACTTTATGTTTACGGTAAATATAAATCGAAAGTAACTTCTTTATATGTTTCTTTTCTTTATAATACTTTTTTCTTTTCTTTCTTTTTTACTTTTCTGTTTTTTTTCCTTTCTATTGCTGAGTTTAATTTTTTTCCAAATAGTCCTCAAAGTAAACTGTAATGGACCTCAGAATTTCTGTTGTATGTCATGACAGTTGTAAGTCAAGGCACCCATGTGACCAAAATAATTTTACAACATATTTTGTGGCAGTTGTTAAGAGAATGCCATGGTAATTAAGCAAACACTGTGCTTGTTAAGCAAACCCTTTATCCACAATGCAGAATTATTTTTTTTTGCCCAAAACTGGAAGTAAACATTAGTTTTTGCCAAAATTGTAAATTGTGGTCACACAACCATGGGTTGTT